ACCTGCTCTGCTGGTGTGTCATGGATTGTGTTCTGCTCCGCGGGGGACACAGCAGAGCCCTGCAGCAGCCGTGACCTTAATCCCGTTTTTAATCAAAGGAAATGACCTCTTCCTTGTGTTCAGAGAGATCCCCTTCCCCGTGACGAGTCAGCAAGGAGGAGAGGTGGGTGCTGGGGCCGCCGAACCCCTGAGCTGTGTTTTCTCACCCTTCCTGACCCTGCAGAGGACACCGAGGGGTGCGGGTGACCGAGCCACAGCCCCGGCTGCTCCCACCGTCACCCTCTGAAGAACGTGTGTCCCCTCTCTGTGTGCTCACGTTTATTCTTCCTGACGCCAACAGGCAGCATCCTATTGATGTGTTAAAGTTGGCTGATGGATAAAACATTGGTGCGCAGTCTCTGGGTTTGTATTAATTGTGTATTTTTCAGCCCCCGACGCGAGCCGGGAGGACAGGCCGCCTGTCGTCCTGCTGAGGCTTTAACCTCAACCCTGCGGCTGCGTTTCCTCGCTCCTTCCCCGGAGCTGTGTCTAATCTGAGCCCTGGCATGTGTGGAGCAGACACACGCACGTCTCGCAGAAGAATTTCTCTTTTATCAGTTGTGCTCTGGCCGCCGTGCGTTCCTGTCACATGCCGGTGGCATTTCCCCGGGGGGATGAAAGCAAGGGCTGGTTTCAGGAGCAGGAATTTTCCTGCAGGACCTTCTGCCGTGCCCTGTTATTTCAAGGAAGCGTGTCTTCAGCCCCCTCTCCCTGCTTCCCCGTCACTTATTTGTGATTATTCGTACAGAGAAGAGATGGTGCTTGAAATTTAGGCAGCCAGGCACTGCTTTTGGGGGCTTTTTAGGCGTATTGGAAGCATGAGGTTGGTGAGCAGCGCGGTAAGTGCCACTGCAGGGCGGCTGGTGCCCAGAGCAGCCTGTGACTTGCCCCACTCATATCCATTTGGGGGCAATGGCAGGGGTGACACCGGAGCCTGGCTCTTATTTCCAGTCCTTCCTCAAACTGGTGGGTGCCCTTTCTCCGCTCTCTCTGCGAAGGGCACTCTCCCAGGGAGCGATATATGATGGAAAAAAGGGTTTTTTAAATATATAGACTCTGCGCTTCTCGGGGAAATCTTCAGGTCCTGGTGGAAATTATTTGAAAAATAAATCTTCTAGGTCATTTGTCCTTGGTGGCAGAAGTCCCTGTCACTGTCACTGTCCTGGGGACAGGCGTTAATCCCAGCAGGGGAAACGCTCCTTCCAGCTGCACCATCCGGTGGCTTTAAGGCAAAGGACAGCTGTCCATGCAGCTCCAGCAACACATGCTGCACATCCCTCTCCGAGACCTCCTTCCTTCCATCTAGATGTCCTCCCCCCTTCCTCCTTCACTCCTGGGTAAGGGACATTCACTCCCTGTCAACCAGGTAACTTGGAGATTTTCCCTGTCCCTTCCTCCTCTCCACCCCAGAGCTCCAGCACTGATGGACACACATACAGCGTTGCCACAAGCAATTCTTTGTACAAACTCCGCTTGCCAAACTCGTGTATTTTCACATGTTGCCCTAAAATGGGGCAGATTCCCTGGGAAATTGTGCCTGGTATTACAAGAAGCCCATGATCCCTGTTTTTTTTCCCCGTGCTAGTTCTCTTACTGTTAACAGGGACGTAGCTCTTTTCTTCATTAGTCGTTAGTCGTAGTACGAGAGCTGCCCACTCTGGGTATGGGTGATGCACCAGCACGTTGTGGGGGTGTGGGATGCTGCTGGGAAAGCACCATCTCTGGCCTTTGGCTCCCCTTGGCATCATGTCCATCTGTATGTGCACCTGGAGCTGCCAAGAAACGGCCAAGAGAGAACCAACAGCGAGGTGGTGTTGGAAAGTTTCACAGGGGAATGTGACAGATTGTTGGGGTGATGATGGCCTAAAGCTGTACGGAGGGGGAAGACCATTTATAACTGTAGAACTGGGCAGGGACACCTCCCACCAGAGCAGGTTGCTCCAAGCCCCCTCCAACCTGGCCTTGACCCCCTCCAGGGATGGGGCAGCCACAGCTTCTCGGGGCAACCTGGGCCAGGCTCTCACCACCCTCACAGCAAAGAAGTTCTTCCCCACATCTCAGCTCCATCTCCCCTCTTTCAGTGTCAAACCCTTCCCCCTCGTCCTATGGCTCCCCTCCCTGATCCAGAGTCCCTCCCCATCTCTCCTGGAGCCCCTTGAGGGACTGGAAGGGGCTCTAAGGTCTCCCCGGAGCCTTCTCTTCTCCAGGCTGAACCCCCCAACTCTCTCAGCCTGTCCTTCCAGCAGAGGGGCTCCAGCCCTCCCAGCAGAAGAAGACGTAATATCCGTGTGAGGCCGCGTGGCACATGGAGAAATGAGGTCTGTTCAGGCACATTCGGGATTTTAGTTTGCACAGATGGATTCAACTGCAGAGCTGTCGAGGATGCTGGAACTGGGAGAATCAGCTTTGTAATTGTGTATAAATGAAACAGAACTTAGTCTGACAGTCGATAGGAGGTCTCTTTCTGAGCAAGAAAAATACTTTTCCCATTTTGCAGGTCAGTGCTTTGAAATCGATGCATCCGCTGGAGATGCTTTCACAGACCCTGGGCATTGGCAGGGACTCTGCCGGCGCACGGCACGCAGGCCATGGCTTGCCAAGGGAAATAATAATAATCTTTTGTTATTCATCCAAGGGCACCACACGGCAAAGTAAAACCAAATCTGAGTGGTCACGTCAAGTCCCTCGTATTTTATGGATGCACGAACACGTAAACGAGGAGATGCAGTTTTAGAAGAGGTGGAAGGGGGACAATCCAGTCTGGAGCTGGTCCTGGCCAGTTTACAAACAATTGGAGTTTACAATTCTCCGAGCAGGAAATGCTTTACAGGATTAAACGTGTCTTAACGAATCCACAGGACGTAGGCTCTCTCCAGGAAGCAGGTTGGATGGTGCAAGGTGTGTTCTTCAGTGAAACATCAGCATCAGCTGGTGACGGAGGCACAGGGATGAGGTGGCAGCAAGTGCCCGGCACTAGAAGCAGATGCCAAAAATAGCTGCCACCTAAAAGCCTTAAAAACAACGGGCTCCACTGGCAGGGATGAAAATAGAATTATTTTCACTTCGGGCACCTTACGAGCAGAAGCAACGGCAAAGCAGGGGAAGGAGAATGTGGAGAGGAAAGCTCAACGAGCTGTTTTCTGCTCTTGGGTTACACCAGCGCAGATCTGTCATTGAAGTCATTTACACCAGTATAACCCAGAACCTGTCTCAAAGCATTTCAGCAGCTGGAGGGGATTTATTTGGATGGAAAGAATGTGTTCAGCATAGCTTGGCCAAATGACACCTACGGCGGACTTGGCAGCTGTTAACAAGTATTTATAGGATGTAAACAGCAAGGGGAAAGAGGACGGAAATAGAGCAAACCATGAGGAACAAAAAAATGGGGTGGAAATGGGAAAAGGAGGATTTTACAGCTCTGGGGGTTGGACTGCAAAGCAGCCATCCAGGTGAAATGAACTAATACTTACTTGATATTAACTGGGCAAAGCATTGAAACTGGAGGTCACAATGTTGTCCCGTTCAGGAGGTGACCTGCTGCTAATTTCTGAGTTTCTGTGATGGTTCCGTAGGACGGGGGGGATCCCTCTCCCATCAGGGGATCGCTGTTTGTAAGACCAGCTCAGGTGTTCCACCCCTGCTCTGATGGAAGGTGGTAGCAATTGCTTCTGAAATGAGTATTTGCAACAATTAGCAGCTTCTGAGCTTCCTGAACGCAAGGTTTCACCTCCATTTTTCATGTTTAGTGGCCATTGACAACCTGGTCCCCTTGATTCTTCCAGCCCACAGTTAAAGCCATTGTGACTTTACTTCTTCAGTGTGTGGTAGCGGTGGGTTCCTCAATTTGTGTATTAAATACACGTGTCTACGTGTAAATTCTTCCCTTTAAATTAAATTTTCTTCACAGTGATTTGGCTGGCCCTGTGTGTCTCCTGTCAGTTGTGATCTTCTCCAGTTGGAGACTTGAGTTTCTTCTCACGTAAAGTCCTCTCCATATTATGGTCATCTTTTTTGCTTCTCTCTGTCATTCTCTAGCTCTATTTATTATTTTTTTTCAGTGAGAAGTCTCAGCTTGCTTGCAGTTCTCAAAATGCTGGTGCATCCTGGATGTATGTTCTTATGTTTTATTCTGGTTTCTTTGGTTTTCTTTTTGAGTTTCCCCTGAGCACAAGGTTAATATTTTTCAGAGAATATCCACAGTGGTTCCTGCAGCCCTGGGAGGGTGGTGGTGAAGAGCTCCTTGCTGCAGGGGCATCGCTGCTTCTGTTTTTCTCTTGTCCCATCATCAGAGGTTCATCTGTTGTTTCTCACTCGGTTCCATCATTGCTCTGAGTTCCTTCTGCACTCCTTGAAATCAAAGAATTGTCCTGAAGGAACTGGCATCATCCTCAAACGTTGTCTCCTCATCTGCCCCTTTGCTGGGTCTATGTTCTGAATGAAACTCCTGCCTTCTCATTGCTCCTTGTCTCCTCTTGCTCTTTGTTTTCCATCTTCAAATTCATTATTAGTCCATGCTGTGACCCATCCCGTGCTCCCAGGCTGGCTGAGTTTCTTTGAAAAATCACTGGAAAAGACTCTTGTGGAAGGGTCTCTGAAATCCTGCTGTTCTTGGCTGCTTTGGAAGGACCTCAGGAGATTTTTGATGCATTGCTTCCTTAAAGCCACACTGACTTTCTCTTTGTGTATCCACCAGCTTGGTTCTGGGCTGTGGTTTTCCTCTCCCTGCCTTCCATACTGCAGTTGGGCCAGGTGGTCTGTATTTCCTAGGACTTTTGGGGGGTCTGTTAGAAGATTTCTTCATTCATAATGTTCCTTTCTGGCACTGAGGATTGTTTAGCGAGAGGTTGACAGTTGAGCTAGCTCATGCTCAAGATCCCTTAGAAGGTGGCCTTCATGTCTTTGCGCTCTTCCAGTGTCTGTTAATGTCTTTTTTTTTTAACCCTTTTCTTTTCTTGGCACAGGGGATGCTCCCAGGTGGGAATTATCAGGGCGCTGATGGAAGCTGGCATCCCCGTGGACATGATTGGAGGAACGTCCATCGGCGCTTTCATGAGCGCCCTGTACGCCGAGGAGCGCAGCTACAACCAGATGCGGATCAAGGCCAGGCAGTGGGCCATGGTAAGGGCTGGGGACAGAGCGATGTCCCACCATCCTCACTGGGGTGTCTGCGTGGGGAAAAGGGCCCTCCTGGCTCCGAGGGAGCGGGGGGAGCTGTCACTGTCACCCACCTCCTCGGGCGCTCGATGCTCCAGTCACACTCTGAGCGCAGAGTGACGTTGTTGGCCCGTGTTTATCTTTGTTTTATCTTCTCTTTTCGATGTGCTGGAACCTGTTTCCTTTCCAGCTCTCAACAAATGTGTTTCTCTTTTGTATAATTTTCTCTCTTTCGTTCTCACATGCTGTCATTTGTCAGTGGAACTGATTGACAGAGGTAATCCTTCTCTAAACTAAATACAACATGTGTCATTCACTCCACAGTGGTGGTACTCTGGTTCAGGAGAAAGATTTAAATTTAAATATATACAAATATACCAAAACATGTTTTCATAATTAAACCAAGGTTTAGGAAGGTTGTTTTAAATAGTGACTTCTTTGGGTGAATTTGTTTATTGTATGAGATGTTGGGGGAAAATGGTACTAACACCAGATCACACTGAGTTCAAATCAACCAGAGGTGAAGCTTAGTGTTACTTCTTAAATTTACTGCTTTGCTTTGTATTGTCCATATGAAAACCACGTTGTCCTGGTGGCTTTCCACAGGGAATTTTCTAAATTAGATTAAGCTCTCAGTCTGCTTAGATCTTGAGTTTTAGGGGGAAATGGGAGTCTGTAGTTGGCACATGGACACGGCTTTCCTTTCCCAACCGCCTTCTCACCCGCCTTGGCTCTGAGACGAAATCAGCTGGATGTTGGTGAGATACCAGTGACTTTGCAGGATAGATGTTCTGGGGCATTAAAATACACATTGAGGCCCCGGCGTGTTTGGGCTCTCCTAGAGGGCAGAGAAGCATGGGACTCTGCTTCACCTCCCTGTCACTCTTTGCTAGAAGAATGGGCATTTCGTGCTTTTTATTTAAGAGCACCTGGAACATAAATTCTTTATGACACAGAGCAGTTTGTCGGAATCGCATAGGTGGAGGAGGCTTGAGATTAGAGACATAAAAACCGTGGTACAGAATGGTGTCAGATGCCTCTTTAACCTTGCACTCTTTATTTCCCACCTTGGTCATTACCAAACGCTTACGGGACGGTATCGGGGCAGGGCGAGCACAGGGCTGTACCTCCCAGTGATGTTTTTCAGTGCCCTGGGACTCATCACAGATAATGAGGGTCTTGGAGCATCTCTCTGATGAGGAAAGGCTGAGGGACTCCAGTCTTTTTAGTCTGGAGAAGACCAAGGGGGGATCTGATCAATGCCTATACTTAAAGGGTGGGTGTCAGGAGGATGGGGCCAGGCTTTTTTCAGTGGTGCCCAGGGACAGGACAAGAGGAAATGGACACAAACTTGAATATCAGAAGTTCCATCTAAACATGAGGAGCAACTTCTTTGCTGTGAGGGTGGCAGAGCCCTGGCAGAGGCTGCCCAGGGAGGTGGTGGAGTCTCCTTCTCTGGTCTGGAGACATTCAAACCCCCCTGGACACGTTCCTGTGGGACCTGCTCTGAGTGGCCCTGCTCTGGCAGGGGGTTGGACTGGATGATCTCCAGAGGTCCCTTCCGACCCCATAGCATTCTGTGATTCCCTTGCTCTCCCTTAGGCTGGAGCCATGGAATTTTCCTCCCAGCATTTGTCCAGAGGATTATCTCCTCTTCTTTGTTAACTTGTCAGATCTCTTCTGCGCGGGGGGTGATGCAGAGCTGGAAAAGCTGTTCTCTGGGCATCTCAGGGCTGTGCTCCCATCAGAGAAGCTTCATTCCCAGCATTGCAGCTCTCGGGTTTGCCAGCCCCATCTGGAATCACACCCGCTTTTACCAAGAATAGTTAAGAGACGAAGAAATTCAGTCTATTCAGTGACTATTGAACACAAATTGCAGAGCTCATTGAACATTTCACAAAGAAAAAGGCAGGTTTTGGCCCAGCTTCGGGCTGTTTCAGGTGTTGGTACCTTGAAATCTGGAAATAAGTAGCTGGAGGAAAGGTTAATGTTTGCTCTAACAGAGGCCATTTCATCTTATTAATGAAGAATGGATTTTCTTGAGGTTTTTCATGAGTATTTTGACAAGCTTGCCAGGCCCACATCCAAACCCAGAGGTTGTTCAAGGGTTTGAGAATGAAAATGGATGGATCCGCTCTGTTTGAAGCCCTTTTCACCACTAACAGCACCATCCAGCAAAACAGTTGCGTTGGGAATTGAAACAAGCCATGAAAACCCTCTCTCCAGGTTCAGATCCCAGCTAATGTACAAAGTACCTCGAGGGATTATAAATCTTTTTAACGGTGGCTATTCTGAGTTATTTTCTCTTGTATTGTGCTGCAGCAACTGCAGACAGAGCTCGGAGAGGGGCTCCTCTTGCTGAGTTCTGTGTGTAACAGTGGGGAGGGTTGTGGGGGTTCCACCTGAAGGTGTGAGCGAGGTGCCAAATCCACCAGATTAACCCCAAATTCTGGGGTGTCTGGGGCTGTTCCTACTGTCCCCAGGGCAGCACGGCTGTGGGAGGTGGCTGCTGGGCAAGGGATGCTCTGGGGACCGTCCTTGGTTAAACCAACATTATTCAGAAAGGCCTGAGCACTCCCTGAAGCTGCTCCAGAAGCTGCTGATTCTGCTCCTCTGAAGCCTGGGAGCTTTTGCTGGTGAAGGTTATTTGCTGAGTGCTCTTTGTGCAAAACCTTGCAGCCTGGCTTTTTTAGCCCGTGGGAGTTTTTGAAATGTCTTTGTTGTGATGGATGAGGTAACTCTGATGTTTTCTTTAATTTTTTTTTTTATCCATCAACACAAATGCTGGTTTTGTCCTGCAGTTATTTGTTTTTTTGGTATTTTTAGAAATCAGCGTATCTCTAGTTGTACACTTGGGGCTGGGAGAAGGAATATTTTTAATGGGATGTGTTTTCTGGATCTAATGAAGCATCAAAGAAACAAATGACTCTTTTTGTCAAAATACAGGGGGGTATGGAAATTACCAGTCAGGCTGGTTACTGTGTGCTGCCTCCGAGTCCTCTCTACCTATGTTAAACCAGCAAAACAAACAAAGAAAAGCTTTCAGGTTTCCAGATTGTTGGGTTTTCTTGGTTTTTTTTTTTTAATTGGAGCACTAATATTTCGAAGTATAAATATTTCACAAAGAAGGGAATATTCTGCTGTTGAATATGGTTACAGGAACGTGCAGCTGAAAAGCTTCCCGTAATGAGAATGAGGAATTGCTGGGCAGGAGCTGCAGTCCTTTGCTGTCTGTGATTTGCACGACAGCTCAAATAAACGTGGGGGGTTTCTGAGGTCGCAGTCGTGAGGTTCTGCCTCTCCCTGACGCTGCGCACTGGGAGATGCTGTGGTTTAATGAGCTGATCCAGCCAAAAATTTGTCCCTTTTTTTCCCCCTCTCATACCGGTTTGTGGCCAGCCCAGCTGCTGGAGCTGCCGAGGCGGCCGTGCCGGGGGGGCAGAACCATCAGCCCCAGTGTGTGACAGATGAAGCTGCTATTGGGCTGGATCCCCATGTTTTTCTTGATCTGTTACATCTGCTGTTTTGAGGAAAAAAGGCTGTTCTGTGCCTTGCCGGGGTGATGCTGCACCTGTATCCCGTGAGGGACCGGGTGCAGGGATGGATGGATGGATGGATGGATGGATGGATGGGAGTGGTGAGGAGGGGGAGCGCAGTGCAGGGTTCCTCTGGGGAGGGGTGGGATGCCCACGCCATGGGGAGCGCAGAGGGGCCTTTCCCCATGGAATTTGGAGGGAGAGCTTCGTCAGTAGGTGCCGCGTTGGGTAAATCACAGCATCCTGCACTGATTTTGTTCGTCTGCCAGATCCTCCTGTATCACACCAGCTCCGAGCCCAGATCCCTGCAAACAAACACAAAACCCCAGCTGAGTAGGCAAACGGTGCCAAACTCGATTGGCACGAAGAGTGGGGCGGGATATTACGGGAAAGATACCTCCTGACCAGAGGAGATGGGCAAAATATGCACCATCAGCAAGTTTGCAGGTGACACAAACCTGTGTGGTCTTGCCGATACACCAGAGGGACGGGATCTCATCCAGAGGGACCTGGACAGGCTGGAGAGGTGGGACCAGGTGAACCTCAGGAGATTTAACAAGAGCAAGTGCAGGGTTCTGTGCAGGAATAATCCTCACTATCAGTACAGACTGGGGGATGAGGTATTAGAAAGCAGACCTGGGGAGAGGGACTTGGGGGTGTTGGTGGATGAGAAGCTCAACGTGAGCCGGCAATGTGCTCTGGCAGCCCAGAAAGCCAACCCCATCCTGGGCTGCATCAAGAGAAGCGTGGCCAGCAGGTCACAGGAGGTGATTCTGCCCCTCTGCTCTGCACTCCTGAGACCCCACCTGGAGCTCTGTGTCCAGCTCTGGAGTCCTCAGCACAGGAAGGACATGGATCTGCTGGAACGGGTCCAGAGGAGGCCACAAAGATGCTCAGAGGGATGGAGCACCTCTCCTATGAAGACAGGCTGAGAGAGCTGGGGTTGTTCAGCCTGGAGAAGAGAAGGCTCCGGGGAGACCTTAGAGCCCCTTCCAGTCCCTCAAGGGGCTCCAGGAAAGCTGGGGAGGGACTATTTGTCAGGGAGTGCAGTGACAGGACAAGGGGTGATGGTTTTAAACTGGAAGAGGGGAGATTTAGATTACATATTAGGAAGAAATTCTTTACTGTGAGGGTGGTGAGAGCCTGGCCCAGGTTGCCCAGAGAAGCTGTGGCTGCCCCATCCCTGGAGGGGTTCAAGGCCAGGTTGGAGGGGGCTTGGAGCAACCTGGTCTGGTGGGAGGTGTCCCTGCCCAGGGCAGGGGGTGACACTGGATGGGCTTTAAGGTCTCTTCCAACCCAAACCATTCTGTGATTCTGTGAAAATAAACTGGTCCCAGTCCCCTCGGTGTGGGGAGTCTCGGTTCCAGTGCCTTAGTGCTGGCTCTGGCACGGGAAAAGGTAAATATGGGCTAAGCCAGCTGTGAAGTGCAGCACATCCTAAATAAATGTGGGGTTTGTTACAGACTGCACACAAATGAGTGTGCACGTATTGTCCCTTAATTTGGGTTGATGAGCCGAGAACCTGCTCTGGATGTCCTCCAGCCCCCGGCGCTCCAGGACGGAGCTGCCCAGGCCGCTCTGCTGCGGCTTTAATTACAGCTTTAAAACTTTATCAGCCACTTTGGAAGGTTTTATTCACTGGGTTTCTCGCAAGAATTAAAGCAGGGCATATTGCTTTTCCCTTGTAAGCCAGCTGAAGTGTTACCTCTGGCTGCCTCTCAGATGGAATTCAGTAGTTGAGATTATTCACAATAGAAGAAAAAAATACTGGGTGTCTTTTTAAAAATTGGATCATAAAAAATTGTTATATCTTGAGGTGCAGAAAAAGTCTATTTTCATGTAGCGATAACGCATGATGGTTCATATTTACCGTTTCAATTGTGTTATGTGGGATGTTGAAATTAACCCGAAATCAAGCATTATAATTTGAGAAATTCAGATAAATGCTTGCACACAAAATCCAAACGTGCATGTTGCTTTGAAATACCCAAATAAGGCACCAAAGCATCCTATTTCTGCCCCGTAGCGACCACCTCGACTGAAGATCCCACAGATGGCATGGGACTGTTCCAGGATCAGGACATGTGAATCTGATTTTAAACATAATTTACTTCCCTTACCTCTCCCCTTCTCCTTTCTCTGAGATGGCTTCTTGCATGGTTTCTTACATGGATTAATTTTAATTTTCTTCAACTCTTAGATTTCTTAATAGTTTACCTTTAAATTTGAGCTTCCATCATCTGTAATTCCCGCCTTTGGGATAAATGGATCCCTGAAGTGCTGTTTATCTGAAGCTGTTGGCCTAAGTTATGTCTTTATTTTGTCTTTAACATCTTTTTCTTTGTGAATTCCTTTGCTTGTTTCATTGAAACGTGAACACTGGAAAGGCGCCGAAGGGAATTCTGGATGCTATCTCTAGTAGTTTTAAAAAAATTTAATCTGTTCTGCTGTTTTAAAATTTTGGTTTTGCAACAAGTTTTCCCCTACCCTTTTTTTTTATATACTCAGGAACATTGAACAATCCTGGGATTATCCTGTTTTTTTACCATCACTCTGCAGCAAAGAACAAAATAGCCAGAGATTAAAATTCAGGGTTCTTTTTGCTCATTGTCATGTGCTCTTGTTCTTCTGCTCCATGAGCAGAACCACCACCTCCTCCCTTCCTTGCTGAAGTTATACCACGGGGTAGCTTTTAAGAATAATTTTAGGATTGAAGGTCTTTTTAACAAGACAGCCTGTCTTGCAGCAGAGCTGTAGAGATGAAGGTTCATGAGAAGTTCATGAAGAACTGGAAAATACCCACTGTCTCCTGGGGGAACCAGTGGAGATGCCTTCAGGCTGGGCTTCCCATTGCTGTACGCAGGGACCCTGAGATGTGTCCTCCTCGGAGCCACCAGGGATGGCCCGGGAGCTCGTGGTTGGTGGAGGGAAGGGAGCGGGGCCGCGTCAGAAGGCTCTGGCTGCCCTTCCAAACCCTAGTCTTTAACTTAATTTATCTGGAAAATGGTAGCAGCTATTCTTGGAAGGTGGAGGGAGGCTGTTGGCCATCAGCGTCAGCGAAAAGGGCATCTTCCGGTGATGAGAAATGAGAATATTAAGAAATAACCATTAATTAGAAGTATTTTGTTCATGTACAAGATTACCGCAAGCCTTAATTGTGGGGAAAATGTAGAGGCTCAGCATTATAAAGATCATTTGCCACGAGGATAGCCCGATGTTTGGTGCTGAGTTGGAGAGATTTTTCTTCGGTATTAAATAAAGGACTTTCTATAAATGCCTCTTTCCCTCATTTAATCATTCTAAGTAATGTCAGAGACCAAATCCCTATTTTAAGTACAAAACTAATTCCATTTAACTCTGAAGCTGTGGGTAGCGTGTCTATAGTCAGGTTGGCACACTGTCCTCACCCCTCAGAACCTCAAATGGGGATGTGAATGAAGGTGACAGGTTCCTAATTGCTTTTGTGCTCACACTTTTACACTTTCCCACGGTTCTTGTTTATGTACTTGTTTTTAAGGATTTTTTTTTTCTTTTTTTCTTTTTTTTTAATACTTGGACACGTACCCTCTGGGCAGATACCTAATGTCTATTTAAAAGCAGCTGGACATGACGATGTCAGCTAATCCTGCCCTCCTTCCAGTCGCTGCTGGAGTAAAGCGAGGGCCAGATGTTGATGGTGGATCCTTTAATAGAGGGGGGGTTTGGAGGCTGCGGCTCTGCCGGGTACGGAGCCACGTTGCTGCTGTTTGTTAATTAGAGACACCGTGGAGAGAGAGAAGATCTTTCACCTTATAGAAATATTTCACCCAGGGAAACCCTATTTAATTGTGAATGAGTTAATTGGGCTTTCTTCCCTTCTACATTTTAACTGAGTATTATGTAATATATTAGATATTGAATTTTGTTCGGATTTATTAGGATTTGAGACCAGTAGCATGGCTGTGGGACAAATACAGGGACCGTAATGCCATAGAGTTCAGGTTTTTTCATCATTTTATCTTGTAGGTTAGTGCCCGGGTGTAATGCGCTCAAATGGAAAATAGGAAAAGAATCCCTGAAAGCTTAATTACAGTTTGTGTGTGTGTTTAGAAGAGACACGTGTGACAGAGCCTGCAGCTCGTCTGTAATGGGATGGGTGTCTATGGGCTTTGGGAAACCTCGTGGGGTTTGGATTATGGATTTTGTGTAGAGCAGCCCCAGCAGTACCCGAGAGCTGCAGCAGGTGAGGGGCACGATCACGGGCTTTGGGAATGAAAAATAATGGACATCGAGACATAAAAAGTGTGTTTAAAGCTCTTTAACGTGTGACTTGTTGCCGTCCCAGAGAATCACATAAAGGTTTCTGTGAGTGCTTACACTGAGGCAGATAAAAGATTTAAGACTGGAAGAAAAATGAGGTATGATCCACAAATGAGAAGAGATGTATAAAGATATTCTGTGATTCTGCGTGGTACAGATTTCTATAGTAGAGATTTATGATTTCCTTTCCGTGCCGGTGAAGCACATGCACGCTGTGGAAAGGATGATGAAGAGGGAGATAACTAATAATATGTTTTTGTTATTAAAAAAAATGAAATCAAGAATTGAACTGTACCATTCCCATACATTTGTTAAGGCAGAACCCTGTGCCGTGCACGCTGCTTTGGAGGGATATTTTGATTTATGGGTAGAAGGGAAGCCACACAAATGTATATTATTCCATAGCCTTATTGCAAACCGGCGACAAAGTTTGCTGCTTTTTGTTTTAAGTTTATGACACCAAGCAAGCAGTTACTGGTTGTAGTTTTTGTAGTTGTGTTTCTGTCCCCTTGGCAACTTTTGTACTGACACTGGCAGCACTTCCAGCGTGTTGGCTGTAGAGTCTGGAATATGATGTCTCTGGAATTGCATACATTAATGCAGACATTCACACGGGGATCCTTGCATGTATTTACCTTTGAAATGTCTTTTTTTTTTTTTTTTTCCTTTTTAGGTTATGAACTCGGTGTTTAAGACTTTTCTAGACTTGACATATCCAATAACATCCATGTTTTCTGGAGCAGCTTTTAACAGCAGCATCAACAACATCTTCAAAGATAAGCAGATCGAGGTAGGTTGTTTAATGCCTTTGTGTACAGACAACGATGTCGCTGTGTCTGTTGTAGCAGAAAGAGTTTTCTTCTGTGCTCGTGTGAGATGTGGGGCTGGGGGATGACTGAGAACTTGTGAAAACTGAATGTGATGTTACATGAACATAGGAAGGTGCCTATTTCATTTTGGTGGATTTAGAAAGCGCAGGGAGTAGATTATTTGTAGCTACTTTTGTTTGACAAAAGGATCCCGCTGTCTGAGAGCAGAAGTTAAAATTCTGTCCCTGAAGTAGAACTGCTGAGACTGTTTTATCATTATTTTTCTGCAAGTCAGGTCTAAGGGGACACCAGAAGAAGGTCTTGAAGAGGGTAGCAATGGGTTTGGCCTTTTTTTAAAATCTTATTTTTGAAGCTCGAGTTGAGTTTTTAGGAAGAGCCCGTTGAAACCCACGATAAGGTCAGAGTGTGCCGTTCCCTGGTTTGCATGTGGTGAACTTTCCTAATTGTGAGGCGTTGGATGCTCTGCCCGAGCCAGTGGCCGCGTTCCCACTCCCACCTGCCCTCTGTCCCTCACAAAGCACACTGTCAGGGCTTCTCCTCCTGGATCACCAAGCCCAGGGATCATGTGGGTAGTCTTGCAATCTTACCTCCTTTGTGTTCCCAATCCCACCTGCCCTCTGTCCCTCACAGCAGCAGTTCACAAAGCACACTGTCACCAAGCCCAGGGATCGTGTGGGTAGTCTTGCAATCTTACCTCCTTTGCAGTTTGAACCAAATTATTCCCGTGTTTGGAATTCTCGTTGTGAAAAACTATGTAGCAAATTAATGCTGTATATACTTTAAATATATTTAATTAAAAATGATCTAAAACATTCCCTACTTAAATGCGAGTATGGAAGTGATTAATCATCACGTGGCTTAAAATAGCATTTTGCTGTGCAGAGGGGACGGTGCTGGGAGTTTTAGAGCGGTAAGTCCTTCCGAGATGGGAATTACTTTTGTTTGGTTATTTCTCAGCACCAGCCATGCCCTTCTCTCCGTTCTCTAATCACACGTGTCCTCTCCTGGAGCACACCAGCTCCTCTCTTTGGTTCCAGCTGATAGGAAATTCCGTGATTGTCCAGTGACTGCCCCAGCTCCTCTCTGCTTTGACGTAGCCGAGGAGCTGCTTGTGCAAAGGACCAGGACCTTCTTGGAGCTGGGGATGGTGCGTGTCAGCGTGAGGCTGTAGGTGACGCTGGGCACAGCTTCCAGGAAGAACATCTCTGAGCTTAAGTGGCCCCAGCTTTCCCTGGTCTGTCTGTCACTGTTTTTGATTTCAGCAGCCAAATTTATTGTACTTCCCTTTAAGATGCAGTTGGTCGATTCCTTCCTTACAATTTTTAACAGCTGTAGTTGTATGATCTGTTCTAACCTTGTGGTCACAGGAAGGTTCTGTCCGAGAGAAACCCAGCTCTGAGGCATCCGACAGCGTCATCTCTGCCCCACGTGCTGAGGGTCACAGGCTGGAACCTTCACTCTGTGTCCAAGCTGCTCTTCATGCTGCTTCTGTCAGATAAATCAGGAGAAATGGTGTGAGATAAATAAGGAGAAACGTTGTGTGGCTTTGCAAGGGTCAGTAGGTAGTCACTCCTTCGCTGCCGTTGCCGTTATCGGCGCAGGTTAACCCGTCCTGTCACTGGGCAGCCAGAGATTTAAAGCTGCTTAAAAGTGTAAAGGGTAATCTATAAAGTAACAGAAGCTGAACTAAGACGCATTAAGCCTCGAACAAATGTTTTCTTAAAGCATTATTTCAGAGCATCCAAACTGCAAACATCCATCTTTTCTCTGTGGCTGGAGAGGTTTTGGAGGGGGGTGGGTGGCAGTGATTTCCAACTGGAAATGCGCATCAGCAGGAGTCTGTTATCCCCTGAGGAACGCAGAGTGTGTCTGGAGGCTGATGGCAGCAGAACCTGAGAACTTCCTCCCCGAGGGGCTGGGGTGGGGACCGGCCCTTGTGTCTCTACGTAAAGCTTAAAATGAGGAATTTCTGGCCCAGATCCTCCTTTTTACTCCCTGTGGCTGTGGGGTGTCTCTCCTGCGCTTCTCACGCATCCCCTCATCCCTCTGCATCGGAGCCACGTAGATTGAACTGTTATTTCTGACACTGAAAGGGAGGTTTCCATTTTCTCTTAAATTTGCTCTCTGACAGTCCCTGTACCGCAGGTGTCTCCGGGTTCCCATGATGCTGTTTGTGGGGTAGCCCTGGATACCAGCACCCCCGGGATTGCTGCTGCCCATGTCAGCCAAAGGCAGCCCAGGAGATCAGCCTGGGCGAGTTCTTCCAGCAAAACACGCAGAAATCCAGGGCAGGGTGCTGAAAAGAGATTTCTCAAGAAATAGAGTTATTGCTCCTCTGAAATTACCCATCCTTCTGGGAGAGCACTGGACTCAGGAATTTTTATCCCCCGTGCCAGAAGCACAAATTGCTCTTGCAGGTCATCCCAGTGGGAGGCTCAGGTGTGAGGAATCAGAAAAGACTTTCCTCAAGTCCTGTTTCAGACTTGAATAATGCTCTGTCCCCAAATTAAATGAAGTGATAGCTGAGAAACACGGTCTCCATCACTGCCTCGTAGGCCTGGGTTTAGTTTCTTTTCTGCATGTGTTTGCATGATATTCATGCAAAATGATATTCACAAAAGGAAGTGTCAGAGAGGCTTCTTTCCCCGTTCCCCTATTTTTTGCTTAAAATGCTGTTGCTGCAGGGAGAGCTGTGATCACCAGGGTATCTTTAGCGTGGAGAGACACCCCTAATACTCCCGTAGTCACACTTTATTCATCCGCCCTCCTGTGGCATTTATACCAGATGGGTTGTAATACTTGTGCAGCATCTGTTCGTCCTCCCCAATCCCACCATCTTCGCAGAGCTGCTTAAGAGATTAAATTCGCTAGAAAAAACCCTCCTTCTTGGCAGCCCAGAATTTCGTGTTGAACAGGACGGAGTCGTACACCAGAGATAGAGGCTGAGCAGAGAGGGAGAGTTTTGGAACCCACACCCGGGTTTGGCTTGAGTTTGAGGCACATCAAAGCTGTGCCAGAGAAGACCCAGATACCTTGTCCTGTGAAGAAAGAGGCTGGCTGGGAAGGCAGGGTTACCTCTTCAGTCTCCATTGGGCTCTTCTGATTGACACAGAACCATCAGCTGTTCTTCTCCGGGCATAAGTTCAGTTTATGCCCACAAGTCCTCCTCCTTCCCCTCTGCAGCCTTCACTAGGCACCATGGAGACTTTCCAAAACTCTCCTCTCTCCAGCAAACCCCGAGGCAGCTGGGAGGCCAGTTTTTCCAGCTTGGTGGGATGTGAGTACAGACACGGCTGAAACAGCAGCGAGAACTTCCTCTGCCAGGAGCAGGAGAACTTCCTCTGCCAGGAGCAGGGCTCCTTGGTTTGAGCCCCATTGAATAAACCTGTAAAGCCCAACCATTCTCCTTATGTGCCACGCTCCTCACTGCTGTGTGACCCTCCAGTATCTCAAGCAACCTCTGGGGTCTTCTTGCAGACCTACCTTGCAGGATCCTTTGTTCCTATCGGAAATGCTGCAAAGGTTTGGGTTGTCCTCTGACTCCAGGCAGGTCTGGGTCTCAGCAGCATTGCTCTGCGTCTCCTGCTGAACTGACCCCAGCTTCATCACCACAGGGTGCAAACTGAATGTTGCTTAGTCCAGAGGCCATGACTCACGTTCTTCCCTCTTTGTCTTGGGCTCTGGTGTCTCAGGAGATGAGGTGAGGAAGGTGCTGCCTGCTGTGGTCCTAGGTTGGGGTCAGGGGGAGCTGAGGAGTTGCGTGCTCATCCGTGGTGAACGTGATTGTGAAGGACGTGCTCTGTGTGGTGGGTGAACTCCACCTCGGATGGAAGCTGTTGGGTGAAAGGCAGGAATGGCTGCACTGGGTGAGATCGAAGGTCTCTCCAGCTTAGTGCTGTGTCTCCAGGGGAGGCCAAAAGCAGCAGGTATTTAACAACCTAGATAAGACTGGAATATAGAAAAGGTGGGTCTTCACTTCACGCTGTCCTCCAGCAATAAAGAGTCTGGGGAGTCTCTTTAGATGAGGGTTATCCTCAGAACCCCACACTCCATCTGAGAGAAAAACAGCTATCAGAAAGAAGGTGAACTGTGGTTTGGGTGGTGAGGCTTCTGTGCCGCTCTGTACGGACAATCTTCTGGAACAAGTGTGTCTTGCTATTAAAAAAGGGAAATAAGGGGGTTTGTCTGCCTTGGTTCTGAATGAAATGTTTGCATGAGAAACAAATTTATGAACTTAAACGCAGAGCTGTTGGGTTTTTCTCCATCCGTGCAGGTGTTTGTGTCTGCAGCTCGCTCTGGTAAGACACAGAGGTTGTTGTTTGGTTTGCGCTGGGGATGGGCTTTAGTTTAAGTACAAGGTTAGAGATTTAGTAAAATTGGGATCTCCTCTGTTGCAGGATCTGTGGATTCCTTACTTCACTATCACAACCGACATCACTGCCTCAGCGATGAGGGTCCACACGGACGGTGAGTGTGTAGCCAGGTCATAAATAATGACGTGGGACCTCGTGTTCCTGGGATTTTCCTTGCCTTTTGTGGGACTTCAGTGTCACCTCGTGTTCCTGGGATTTTCCTTGCCTTTAAATTTGTCTTTCCTTTTGTTTCTCCCTTCTCTGTTGTTTGCTGAGCACCAAACTGTGGTGGTACACGCATAACAAGGAGCAGAGCTGTTGGGAAGAAATTAAATGAGATGCTATATTAGCTGTTTAGAGAGAAAATGGGTCCATTGACACCGTTCTGTTTCCTTAAAACATCCTGCAAAATGCAGATGTTTCAGCTGTAAATCAACCTAATGTGTCCAAAGCATTTTAAGATTCAAAGTCCCTTTAAATGAAGCTGTTTTCCCAATGGAGAGACTCCTGTGCCTGAAGCAGAGGCTGGGTTAGGTTCTCCTTTGTGTCCAGCCCCGTGGGACACTTGTCTATCTGGGCTAATGGTGCCGTGACTCAGGCTCCAGTGAAGCCAGATCAAGCCCACCAGGAGCCCCAGATATTTCCGTGGGCGGCTGAAGCCTTTGCTGCCACGTCTCTGATGTTTTGTCTTTTGAGCTGGGGCAGGTAAGACTCTCTGTTCCCATCGTTAGGGCAGGAAACTCTTAGTTCCATCTCATCTTCTGACAAGAAGTCAGCGTTTTTCTTGGGTGGAAGTTCCAACTCAACGAAAGCTATTAATAATGAAACTCAAAGCAGCCAGCATTGACCTGTGCTAAACACTAGGAGGGCTTGGGTTATAATTAGAAACAGAGCTGTTATTTTAAAAAGACGAGAAAAAAAAAATCAATTTCTTCGAGTAGTTAATTGCTGAGAGTTGAGCTAACACTGCAAGTCTTACTTATTTTTGATATTTTAAAGAATCGCTTCCCAGACGAGACTCGGCCTCTCTGGAAATGCAGTGTCTTCTCAATTCAGCTGATGCAAACGCTAAGAGAGAAATAACTAAATCAGAGCCTTAAGCAGAATGTTTTACAGGAAACAGATCCAATCAATTTCTGCTTGATTAAACTTTCTGTTTCTAACAGCTTAAAAGATTATAACTTTCTTCCTTACAGCACTACTAACAGAAATGTCCTAAGCAGAGATAAGATCACCACCATGTACTCACGCTGCTTTTACAAGTGGAAATGTTTTGCTTATTACAGAGCAGGGAAAACAGAATTTTTGGGCTTCTACAGCGTATATTTTTTGTGTTCAGCTCCTGCTAAAAGTCTGGGGTTTTTGTGGATCTCTGTAGAACATAATGGCTTTAGCTGCACTTCAGTCTGATTATTATTCTATCCCTTTGTCCCCGGGAGAAGCTTTTTTCTTTCCTTATCGGGGTAAGCTCAACAAAGCACTAAAGATGATCCCTGCAGTCAGGCATATGCTGAAATCGCCTTGAAGGCAATAAATATGAGACATGGGCTTAAAACTGCGGGTTCCGAGGCCTTTGCCTGGTTGTATGTCTGCACAGCCGGGCTTTTTTTTGTTTCCCCCTCGCCAGGATTATGGTATAGAAAATAATAAACTGCTTTAATAACTTTGGAAGGGTATTCTCAGGACAGCCTCTGTCTCCCCATTATTTTAATGAGTGCAAAAGCCCCACCTCCATGGCAGTAATTAACGCCGCGTCTGTCCCCTCCCTCTCGTCCCTGCAGGCTCTCTCTGGAGGTACGTCCGCGCCAGCATGTCCCTCTCCGGGTACATGCCTCCCCTCTGTGACCCCAAGGATGGGCACCTCTTGATGGACGGGGGTTACATCAACAACCTGCCGGGTAGGTGCACACAGCAGCGGGGGAGAAGCTGCCAAGAAGGAAAAAAAGCTGCCCAGCAGAAAAGGACCTGGGGGTGTTGGTGGACAGTTGGCTTAACATGAGCCAGCAGTGTGCCCAGGTGGCCAAGAAGGCCAATGGCATCGTGGCCTGTATCAGGACCAGCGTGGCCAGCAGGAGCAGGGCAGGGATGGTGCCTCTGGACTGGGCACTGGTGAGGCCTCACCTCGAGGGCTGTGTTCAGTTCTGGGCCCCTCACTACAGGAAGGACATTGAGGTTCCTGAGCATGTCCAGAGGAGAGCCACCAAGCTGGGGAGGGGTCTGGAGAACAAGTCCTACGAGGAGAGGCTGAGGGAACTGGGCATGGTTAGTTTGGAGAAGAGGAGGCTGAGGGGAGACCTCCTTGCCCTCTACAGCTCCCTGAAAGGAGGGTGTAGAGAGGTGAGGGTTGGCCTCTTCTCCCAAGGGAATAATGACAGGAGCAGAGGAAATGGTCTGAAGTTGGGGCAGGGGGGGTTTAGATTAGATATTGGGAAGAATGACTTTCCTGAGAGGGGGGTCAGGCCCTGGAACAGCCTGCCCAGGGAGGTGGTGGAGGCACCATCCCTGGAGGTATTTAAGAACGGTGTAGACATGGCTCTTCAGGGCATGCTCTAGAGCCGGAGATTGTTGGTTTGTGTCTGTTTGTGGGTGGGTGGAGGGTGGGGGTTTTTTTTGTTTTTTTTTTTTTGTGGTTGGACTCAATGATCGCAAAGGTCCCTTCCAACCATGAAGATTCTGGGATTCTGTGAGAACACGGCCCATCAAACAGCTTGGAAAACTTTGTCCTCTTTTTTTTCTTTTTTCCCCTTTTCCCCCCCAAAATGAACCAAGGAGAAATATTGCAGACACCCCTATCCTCACGATGGTTGCCAGGAGTCATTGTTCTCAGTTTCCTAGGTGTTTGCTTTGTCATGGCTTTATTAAGACTATTTTTTGTTACGAAGTATTTCCTAATAGACAGATTCTGAACATATAATTCCAAGCCAATTTTGAATTTATTTCAGTGCTCGCTGAAAGGAGGGAGCAGAAATTAAACCGCAAACATATAGTCTGTCTTTGACTTTCTTTTCAAAAAGTCTCAGTTGAATAAGAATTAATTCTGAGAAAGCATTAACCCTTTGTCGTTCAGGCTCGTGTCTCCCAGAGCCCGAAGGGTTCGGCTGACGGGCTGGGTGTCTTGGTGAGCTGTTACCATGTAGGCTCACAGGGTGTTCCAGGGGGTGTTGTGGAGTTTGGGGTGTTGTGAGGACTGAACCCCAAAGGGTCCAAGGCAGGTGAATTCACTTGTGTGTGTTCGGGATGTGTTTTGTGTCAGGGCTGTCATCAGAAGGTCAGAAGGCAGGAGCTCAGGAGGGTGGCCGAGAGGGGACAGAGCTAGGTGGTGTCGTGTACAAATAAAGAGGAAGGAATCTAAGCTAGAGACCCTGCATCTGGGCAACCCGAGCCATTTACATGTTCCAGACAAACCCAGACTGTGTTTTTCCATCAGGGCTGGATTTGCCTATAAAACAGAAATGGGAATAAAACAAAATTGACCCCCCAAAAATCTGCATCTGGAGTTCTCCATCTGTGTCTGTAAGCAAAAATACGAATTGCAAACTGAGGCACCTCTTCCACCTGCAATATCGGAGAGGGCAAAGAGTGCTCCTGCAGGTGACACTGGGTGGAAAAGACACAATAGACTGAACGAGCCCAGAAATGTAAACCAAGTTACAGAACAGATCTGATTTAAATAAGCCTCTAAATTAAGCATCTAAATTGGCTCTTCAGAGCTATGGTTTTCCTACGCAAAACTATTCTGGAAACTGCAACTATCTTGGACTCTGGGGGTGTGGAAGAAATATAAATTCACTCTGTGAGGTACATGTCCTTCACCTCCCTCCCTTGGCACTTCCCTAAATCCTTGCCCGTACCCAAAGGCTGCAGCAGTCCTTTTGCTGACCTTGAAGTAGGAAGTGTTGCCTCATCTCTCTCCCACTTCCAAGTATGAATCTTTCTCTTGGCTCCCAAAGCTTTTCTTAGACTGCAACCCTCCGGTTCCTGAGCTGCTCCTTCCCTTCACCACCTTCTATCTGCAGGTCTGACCCCAGCACTGCTAACTCTCCTTGCTGAGGCCACTGCCACTTGTGTCCTCTTCATGTCCCCCAGATCCTTTGTTCCCATGAGAACTGCTGCACAACGGAGAGTTAACGTGGGTTTAACTTGCTCCGTCACATTATACCACTTCTGGTGCAATTGTGGACCCCAGCTGTGTGTGTCCCACCTCCTCTCCCCCCTCCCTGCCCTAGAGTTTTGCTGCTGCCTTCGTGTTGGTGACAGCGTGGCCTCAGAGAGAGTCAGGTCATCCCACCCATCCCAGGCAGAACATACCCCAGAAGAGATGTTTTCCAGCAGTTCAGCAGTGGGGACTCATGGTCAGTGTGGAGTGGGCTACCAAGATGATGAGGGGACTAGCACATCTCTCCTACAAGGAGAGACTGAGGGACTTGGGTCTGTTTAGTCTGGAGAAGAGAAGGCTGAGGGGGGATCTGATCAACACCTAGAAATACTTCAAGGGTGGGTGTCAGGAGGATGGGGCCAGGCTTTTTTCAGTGGTGCCCAGGGACAGGACAAGAGGGAACGGGCACAAACTTGAATATAAGAAGTTCCATCTGAACATGAGGAGGAACTTCTTTGCTGTGAGGGTGGCAGAGCCCTGGAAGAGGCTGCCCAGGGAGGTGGTGGAGTCTCCTTCTCTGGAGACATTCGAACCCCCCCTGGACATGTTCCTGTGGGACCTGCTCTGGGTGGCCCTGCTCTGGCAGGGGGTTGGAGGAGATGATCTCCAGAGGTCCCTTCCAGCCCCATGTCATTCTGTGAGTCTGTGAGCCGCACCAAGGTGTAATGGTCTCGGCAGAGTTGCTGCACATGATATCTGAGGCTCTTCCAAGAGATGCTCATGGTAGGTCCGATGTCAGGTTATATGCTCCCCGGCTGTAGGTACCTGAGCTTTGGCAGCACTGGTGCTGACATGACCTTCTTTCCCACCAGCTGATGTGTGAGCCGCACCAAGCCACACCAAGGTGTAATGGTCTCGGCAGAGTTGCTGCACATGATATCTGAGGCTCTTCCAAGAGATGCTCATGGTAGGTCCGATGTCAGGTTATATGCTCCCCGGCTGTAGGTACCTGAGCTTTGGCAGCACTGGTGCTGACATGACCTTCTTTCCCACCAGCTGATGTTGTGAGGTCCATGGGCGCAAAGGTGGTGATCGCGATCGACGTGGGGAGCCGGGATGAAACAGACCTCACCAACTACGGTGACTGTTTGTCGGGCTGGTGGCTGCTCTGGAAGAGGTGGAATCCCCTGGCCGAGAAAGTCAAGGTATTGTAGACTCTACTGAAATGGCAGCTGTTTCCATGGATGGAGCAGGAAACTCCCCTGTGTCCGTTCAGGGAGCAAACCTGGTGACAGACCATTGTCCTTCTTGGGTTTGAGCTCTTACCGTGGGCAGCGCCCTGACACCCAAGGCAGTGACATGGGAGAGGGTAGAGCCCCACTCTGGGAAGGGGGTGGTAGAATTGTAGAGCAAAGAAACCTTTTCTTAGAGGTGCATTAAGATTTGATAAAGTCATAATTTACAAATTTTCCCAATACAGGTAATAACTTTGTCCAGTTCAGTGTTTCTATCCTATATGTCTCTGAATTGTTGATTAAGGGAGATTTTAGCACTAGGCAGTAATTAACGTTACTGCTGCTGATAAACACAGGGCTGCAGAGCATCCTTGGGTTGTTTTTTTTCCTCTTGCACGCAGCCAGGCCAATTCTGTTACTTACTGTGCATTTCCTAAATTATCTGGCTCTGCAGCTGCCCCCCAAGGGAATACTGTTGTTTCTTCTTCCCTCCCAACCACAATTAACACATTCCCCTGTTCAAATTGGAAGTGAAATACTTGTCTTGGGGAAGATACCACAAACTGTGGGCACTGCTCTGAAATCTGAAGTTTTCCTCTGTGATAACTCCCTTCCCTGAAAAGGCCTGGTCTCCCCGAGAAGTGGCTGGTTGGAGCTGGTGCAGCTGTGGGGTGCACTGCTGTGCCTTGGCAGAGCTGACCATGCTCCTCCCAGCAAGTGGTGGGAGTGTTTGGTGGGGGAAATGGAAGACCCTGACTCTTCCCAGTAGAGCCCAGTGAAATATTCCAGCTGCCCAAATGGTGATAGGCACACATGGAAACATGGGATTCCTTCTGAACACCAAAAAACCACTTTTTTTTTCACTGGGAGTGGTGAAACATTGGCCAACAAGAGAGGTTCTGGTGTCTCCATCTGTGGAGATATTCAAAACTCAGCTGGACGTGTCTTGGACAACCTGCCCCTGCTTGAGCCAGGAGGGCTGGACTAGACAATCTCCAGAGGTCCCTGTTGACTCAACCATTCTGTGAAATCTTGGCCCTGGTACTGTAGAGATCATCCCTGTTGTCTGCCTTGGAGCATCACTGTGTCATAGAATCATAGAACGGTTAGAGTTGGAAGGGACCTTAAAGATCATCAAGTCCCAACCCCCCTGCCCTGGGCAGGGACACCTCCCACCAGACCAGGTTGCTCCAAGCCCCCTCCAACCTGCCCTTGAACCCCTCCAGGGATGGGGCAGCCACAGCTTCTCGGGGCAACCTGGGCCAGGCTCTCACCACCCTCACAGCAAAGAATTTCTTCCTGGTATCTAATCTAAATCTCCCCTCTTCCAATTTAAAACCATCACCCCTTGTCCTGTCACTGCACTCCCTGACAAAGAGTCCCTCCCCAGCTCTCCTGGAGCTCTCTCCAGATATTGGAAGGGGCTCTAAGGTCTCTCCGGAGCCTTCTCTTCTCCAGACTGAACACCCCCACCTCTCTCAGCCTGTCTCCATAGCAGAGGTGCTCCATCCCTCTGATCATCTTTGTGGCCTCTCACCTGGCAGAGGTCTCTCTCTTGAGGTACCCCTGGATTCTGGAATGGGAGACTCAGTTTGACGTGGAACTGCAGCAATCTGTTTGAAGGCAATTCCCTTTCTGCTGTGGGTTATGGAGACTCACTGGCTGCCTGTCCACGCTGCCCGGGAAACAGATGGAGGTGCTGGTGTGTGAAGGCTTCAGCAGGCTTTTGTGTGTTCTTGGGGAAAAAAAAACAAACAAACAACCAAAAAAAAGGATAGATAACTTGCTTTTTCTCCATTGTGAATGCAGAAGGTATCCTGAAAGGAAATTTCTGAATGAATGGTGATGGGTGTGTGTGGCCTCGTCGACAGGTGCTGAACATGGCCGAGATCCAGACGCGGCTGGCGTACGTGTGCTGCGTGAGGCAGCTGGAGATGGTGAAGAACAGCGACTACTGCGAGTACATCCGGCCACCCATCGACCGCTACGGGACCCTCGACTTCGGGAAATTCGATGAAATCTGTGTAAGTGCATCTTCAGGGAAGGCAGCTCCCCGCCCTGTTGTCCTTCCACAGAAACCCGCTGCTCTGCCGTGCTAATTAGTGCCTAAGCTGCTGGGGAGTGAGAGGTGTCAGTTGGCAGAGAGCGAAGAATTGACGCCAAATAACGCCGTGGACCGATGTCGTGGCTGGTGAGGTTGGATTAACAGCAGAAATGGAGTTAGTAACCGTGATTGTATAACGACCTGTGAAGGGATCAGCTCCTCGCTCTGTCTCATCACGGTTCTTGCTCAGCTGCTGGGTAAAAACCCTGGGGTGTCTGAGCTGCTTTGGGCAGTTGGGGTTTGTCAAAGGGTGTCATTTCTCTCCCTTCGTTATGGAGCTTGTTGCCGCGTGAAAGATTTGAAGGAGTCTGTAGGGGAGGCTGTGAATCACCCAAATGGAGGGCAACGTGCTAAAATATCCGGCTCGGTTAACGTTTCAACACTTCTATTAATAAAACCTATCACCCGCGGTTCCTCTGCACCTGATAGAGTGTCAGGAAAATGGCACCAATGTCAGTGGAAGGACGTTGTGAAAAGGGTGGTACCGGGTTACATGGCCCTGCGTTCAGTTTTGTCCGTGTTTGAGGAGCCAGCACGGGAGGAGAGGGCTCCAGATGTGCGGTCGAATTGTCTTAGTGACAGAATTCAGCTTTTGCAGCAAAAATGTCTCTGCCCAGGCTGGGGTAATGATGGCAATCCTGGCTCATTGCCTCTTGTCGAGGAAGTTATTTTACTGTCTCTTTCCATTTTTCGCCTCCTTCAGTCACACAAACATCTGTCTTCAGGTGTTTCTGCATGGCTTTGCTCTTCTCCTGAGCTGGGGAAAAAAAACCATCACCAATTTTCCTTTAGAATGATCTTCTTTATAGATACAGTGAGAACCTACAATACTTATTAGGCTGTGGGTTGATTTCTCTCATACCATCTTATAAATACTAAACAAAACCAGTAAAACCATTAAGCCCTCCATATTTGCATTGGAGAGAGTCCTTAGGACAGCAGCTATTCCAAACCGCCAGCTGATTTCCCCCGTATAAATATTTTCTCAAGGATATTTGGTGTCTCGCAGCTCCTGGGCAAACAGTGCTGGCTGCCAAGGGTGGATCTAAGACTTCGCTGATAAATAATATTCTTCGCTAGATGGAGTGCCCTGGCCGTTCTGAAAACCTTGATGGAGGGGTCTGGTAGTTCATCACGGGGACCAGATAATAAGCTGTCAAATCATTGTTCTGTCTCTGTCTAATTTGGTGTCGTTAAAGAGATTTAAAGACATGCACATTTTTCTCAGTGGAATAAAACTTGAGAAAAGTGTGGTTTCTCAGAGATGCCGCCTTCTGCGAGCACGTTCCTGGCACGAGAGGCTGCAGGTGTGGGGGGCAGCACCCTCCTGGATTTTTCACTCCCTGCAGTGCAGCTACATCACTGCTGGCCACGGGGGAGATTTAAACTGCACTGACCTTAAAGGAAAGGGCACCCTGGGCATCAGGCTGTTATAGGCTGTGATGTAGTGGGGTTTTTTTATTTCAGCTCTGTACCTGGATTTTACAGAAAATAGAAATGGGCACCGTATAACCAGCACATTCAAAAGAACAAAAATCCCCTCTTCTTCTCAAAACCCCTCTTCTGCATCAGCCCGGTGCGTGGCGTTTCCCAGAGCTCTGGTTCTGGCAGTTATTTTGGAGCAGGGTGTCCCAGCCAGCCGTAGATCCGTCAGGTCCCTTTTCCTCCAGAGCCATCCCAGCCACCCGGGGCTGAGAAGCTCCAGCAGATTACGAGGGGGTGAATTCCAGCCTGAAGTGCCTCCCGTGCTTTGAACCCCGGCCCAAAAACCAGCAGGGAGACAGTGCTGGGGCTGCTTCCAGCTCTGGGGGGGTTGGTGCCAGCGCCGGAGCTGGAAATAGGACCCGGGGCTCCCACACCTGTCGCTCTCTCCTTCCTTCCCATTTGATTTTTCAACACAGTTTCTGCTGTCTTGTTAGAAAAAGAGGAAAACTTGGAGCAATCAATATATTTTTTCCAGTTGTTTCCATGTTAATGTTATTATTCCAAGTGCAAATTACTTTATGCTGTTAAATGAGAGGAACGTGGAGTTTGTGGGTTCGGTGTTGTCCATGTGCCGTCCATTGACAGGACAAGGGGCAACGGTTTTAAATTGGAAGAGGGTAGATACCAGGAATAAATTCATTACTCTGAGGGTGGTGAGACCCTGGAACAAGTTGCCCAGAGAAGCTGTGGCTGCCCCATCCGTGGAGGGGTTCAAGGCCAGGTTGGAGGGGGCTTGGAGCAACCTGGTCTGGTGGGAGGTGTCCCTGCCCAGGGCAGGGGGTTGGAACTTGATGATCTTTAAGGTCCCTTCCAACTCAAACCATTCTATGATTTCTGCTCTGGCAAACTGGCACTTGCACATTCAGTGCCATCTGCTCCAACTTATTGCAAGAGATTTAGGAACCAGGTGCCCGATGGTAACTTTTATTTGCTAGAAAAGTGTAAAACTTTTCCTTTCCTGGCTATTTTTGAGCCAAGAGGGGAGAAGACACAAATTCATTCGTGGTGTCTTCTCCCAAAGAGCGAGCCAGTGCTGGAAGGGCATTATATGCACACTGAGCTTCTCTTTCTACGGTGTTATTCCGTGGGCAGCCTGCTTGAGGCCACTGCTGCAAAAATAGTTGTGTCAGGTGGCACTTTTCATTGCCCACCCTGGGGTCGGAGGTCAAATCAGCATTGGGACCTAAAATAGCACTTTGTTTGCTTAATCGTTCCCCTCATTCTTAGGCTGAACAGCGTGTGTAGCTGAGGCTGAAGGCAGTGAAAATACAGCCTGGCTTGGGGTGGACCTCCGGGTTTCCTACTGATTTGCAAAAGATGCGACTAATGGTTTTTTAGCTGTTAATTATATTTTTTTTCCACTGGCTCTTTTTTTTTTTTTTTCCAGGAGGTGGGATATCAGCACGGGAAAACAGTGTTTAACGTCTGGTGCAGGAGTGGAATATATTTTTTTTCCACTGACCCTTTTTTTTTTTTTCCAGGAGGTGGGATATCAGCACGGGAAAACAGTGTTTAACGTCTGGTGCAGGAGTGGAGTCCTTGACAATATGCTGAAAGACCGGCAGGAGCCTTGCAAATCCAAAACTGATGTAAGTGTTGGGTTCAAATGGGCTGTTCTGCAAGAGCTGTTGATGCGCCTGGGACTGCGTGCTGCTGCTCAGGGGCACGATGGAGAATGACCAGTTGCCTCAAGTCTTTGTTGTGAGCACACGTGTATTGGTTAAAACTGTATTTTAGGCAAGAAAAGGTATCATCTGTTTCTCAGCACCTGGAATTGCTCACAGCACGATGGTCCTCGAGGGAAGGCAGGATGCTCAGCAGGAACCAGCACTGTCTGAGACATGTAGCCCATGTGGACATGTTTACACACTTGGGTTTTTCTTCTCCATCCCCATGTGCCGTCCTGAGGGCACAAAAGCTGCTGATTGAGGAGCTCTGCACCGAGCTGGAGCGGGGCTGTGACTGCCCCAGCAGCTCCTGCCAGAGAGATGGTCTGTCATGACGGGTGATGGGCCACGTTTGCACCAATCGCTCGCACGCGTGGGTGGACTCTGCCTCCCCCAGTAAAGCTGAGCAGGAACGAGTAACTTTTTAAGAAGTATTTTTCATTTATTTTTGTGCCACAAACTTTTGGTGGTGCCTGGATATTGTTCTTGCTACTAGAAGCTGGACTGCCAGGGCAGTGGCTTCTCCCACCAGCATCCCAGTGCTGGTCTCAGAGGATGAGAATCAGGGTTGCTGGCATCGATCTCAGCCATTTCTGGCTTTCAGGATGTGACTCGGACAGTTCTCAGATGCTTCCAGAAAACCTGAATTAGATCCTTGCTGGAGATGTGTTTATGGCCAAGAGTTAAAATCCCTGCAAAGCCATGGGTTTCTTCCTTTGTTGCTTTTCTTCCTCACCCTTCTATTAGAAAAGACATTTGGTAGAGCCAGAGCCACCATTGTGGCTCCGCAGAACCCTGCAGCACCGCCGAGGCACCGGGTTCCACACATCTCCTTTGTCCTCTGGAGCATACCCGAGCGGGTGGTGTACAGTTGGGTAAATGCCTGATTATGGTAAATCCACAGGCTACCTCGTGTTGCTGTGGGGGTACAGTCCTGTTAATATTCCTAATTAAAAGTAGGATAAGATTCTCTTGGCTTTACAGTTTGAGGTCAGCTTTGAGAGTTGGTCCATAACTCAAGGGCTGACTGAATCTCTTGGTGGGAAGTTTCAGTTGTTTTTAAGAAACAGTTATCACCTTTTGGAGGACATGGGTACAATATTATAAAATATTGGCTTATTATCCTCACCCTCCTTTGAATTCCTCTGATTTAAAACCCAAGTGCTACAAAGGCTTCATGTTTTACCCAGTAATTCATCTTTATCGTCTTTTAGAGATGGGGAAATGAGCAGTAATATTTTAAGTGGTTGCTAAAATGTATGATAACTGGAGTGGCCTCACAGAGGAAAGTCAATAGAGGTGAAACACGACATGGAGGATTTGCGGCTCTTCCAGGCGTCGGTGGTCGAGCACTTTCTCTAGGAGAGACGTGGCAGGAGGAAGGGGAGAGGAAGGGACATTAGCCCAGAAACTGAGTGGTGGATGGTGCCCACATCTGAGCCAGTTGCTCTTGACCCCCGTTTGTCACCAGAGAGAGGAGCCTCTGTTGGGTGTGAGTCACTTGATGAAATGGGAATGGCTCCGTTGGGATAAGACAAAGGGCTCCCTTGGCTCCGGCCACATGAAGGGACCAATGGCACTAGTGCCAATGGCTTCAGTCACCAGATGAATCCCACCCAAGCTGCTGGCAGGGTGGGTGCTCATGGCAGGAGCACAGCAGGACTGGGCTTTATGGGAGCTGAGGAGCCCCAAAACTCACCAGCTTGTTACTTCTTACTGGGAAGAGGACCTGGACTAGGAGATACAGTAGGAGACAGGTCCCCATTCTGCCTGACACCTCGTGTTCAGAGGAGTTTCAAACTGGTCTGTGTTAAGGAGAAGTCAAGGGAGAGAAAATTGCGTGTATCTCAGAAATGGTGCTATGTCCTATTTCATCCTCTAACTTTTATCGCCAACTGGTAACAAGCTCAAACATATTCATTGCTGTAACAAAGGGCTCTTCAAAAGAAGACTTCTTTTAAAATTGCCCATTCTATGGGATACAGTAGTTCAGGCTCATATTTCAGTTAAATCATGGTATTACAGCTCTGCATCAAGCAGCACGTCGAACATTTACCACAATCTGCCCTGGTTTTTATGGCTCCTCGACTGCCCTGGAGACCAGATATGTCACGTATGTCGTTGCAGGCAGAGCCTGCCGTTGCATTTCCGAGCGTGCACTTGGTAACGAGGCAGAAAATGCTGATTGCTGAGACACCGGGAGCACGGAAATACCGGGCTCAGGAGGGAGACTCAGCGACATGCCCAGGTCATGGAGCAGGAACCACCAGCTCGGTGCGTTCCCCGCACTGACACTAAGGCTCTGCCCAAAGCCATGCTCCCCAGGACCTATGGGGTCTGCTCTTCCTCTGAAAAGTCTGGAGTCCAGTAAAAACCAACATTTAGTTGGACTCTTTAGTCTGGAGAAAAGTCTGGAGTCCAGTAAAACCCAACATTTAGTTGGACTCTTTAGTCTGGAGAAGAGAAGGCTGAGGGGAGACCTTATCAACGCCTACAAGTATCTCAAGGGAGGGTTGAAGGAGGAGGGAGCCAGACTCTTTCCAGTGGTTCCCAGTGAGAGGACGAGGGGCAACGGGCACAAGTTGGAACAGAAGAGGTTCCACTCAAATATGAGGAGAAACTTCTTCACAGTGAGGGTGGCAGAGCCCTGGAACAGGCTGCCCAGGGAGGGTGTGGAGTCCCCTTCCTTGGAGATTTTCAAGACCCGCCTGGATGCAGTCCTGAGTAACATGCTCTGACAAGCTCTGGGCAATCCTGCTTCAGCAGGGGAGTTGGACTAGATGATCTCTATGATCCCTTCCAACTCTAGAAATTCAGTGAAATTCAGTGAAATTTTTAGAAATCAGACTTTTGTTTCAGTAGATTTATTTCTACAAAATAACAAGTATTGCACGCTCCCACTGGGATGTTTTATCTTTTTTTTTTTCCTTTAGTCCATTAGAGGCACTGAAGTCCTGTAGCTCTGCTATCTTCCACGGATAACAGCTGATATTTTTAACTTGCCTTTCATTAGCGAAGGTTTTTGATACTCTATATGTTTTAGTTCTTCAGCTATTTCTGGAGCGTTCAACATCTGAGAGCTGAGTGCGGTTTCTTATCATCTTGTTTCCATGTTGTGAGCGTTGAATTTTTACTTTAAAACTCCAGATATTTAATCAGTGAGGTACTTTCCCTTTGCTTTCATCATTCGATCACTGTTTACCTTGTCTCAGAAATGCAAATTCTGAAGACACAAACAACAGGAACCTCACATAAACTCCACTTGAACAACCCTTACTCTTCCCCAGCGCAGAATAATGCAGTACCATTAATTGGACCTCCTCGGGGAAGTTTTGTCTACTGAAGTGTTATTCATAGTCAAAGCTAAATATAATCTAGCAGACTACAATGGTAACTGTCTTTCTCCTCTAATTTATTTAATAAAGATTGTGCCGAAGAGAATACTTTCCTCCTTGGAAAAAAAAAGAAGTAGTACCAGCGGAAAGGTTTTAGAGTAGGTTTAAAACGAATCCGAGACACTTCTTTGCCTCATGTTGGCTGATGGGACTGTGGCTTTGTCCTCAAAAGTGGGGAGAGGAAGTGCTTAAATGTCAGATCCCTGTTCACAAAGCCCCAGCGGAGGGTGGGAAGATGCCTGGTTTCCCACAAGCCGCGTTCTGGTGCTGAGACCTTGGGGTGCAGCTGCCTCCCAAGCCTCCTCCAGCAGATGGGACTGTCCCTTGTCACCGGCCTGAAGAGATGCTCCCATGGGTCCAGTCACCCTCATGGTGCCCTTCCATCTCCCCTGTCCTCGCAGCCCGTCTGCAGGAGCTGATGCTGGTTTTACTCAAGCACCTTTAGGTGACAGTCGCTGCAGGATTTTGTGCAGCGGTTCCTACAGTGCCCAGGACTTTTGTCCCCTCCAGAGCCGGTCCCCATCTGCTCCGAGCTCCCAAGGCCACTCTGGCACTGGGTCTGGCTCTTTGTCCACTTGGTGAGAGTCCACGTTTTCAGGTGTTTGCCTCCATCGTTGTTGTGTCTGCTTGGGGGCCAGAGCTTGCACATATCCCTCTCTGAGTCATATGGCACAAAATGAAGATGTAGATGCTTTTTTCCCCGCCCTGTCCTGGGGAAGAGCCTTCTGCAAACGCTTCCCTGGGACCATTCAGGTCGGATGTTCAAAGTGAGACTGGGCTGACTCACCCTTCTTGATGGTTCCTTAACGCTCACGCTGAGCTTCTGAGCTTCTCCACTTCAAAATATAAAGTGTGTGTCCTGAGCTACTGCTGTTCCGTTTCATATAGGTATTTTTTTAATCCCCTCTGGGCTTTTCTCTGTCCGCTCCCCCCCAGCTGCTTGTCCTGGATCCGCACCTGCCTTTAGCTGTACTAAATTACATCAAAAGTCAGTTGGGGATTAAAGGTCAATCTGCTGCAGCCGTAATGGGCTTCTGCTGTGACCCCCCCCGGGGGCTGTGTGATTCACGGTATCAGTGCTCTCGCCAGAAGAGCAAAGAATTGCTCATAAAAGCCCAAAAGTCTTAGGAAACAGCCCTGTCTGGGAGCACGTGGCGGGGTCTGGGGGTTTGGGATGGCGGCTGTGGCAGCAATTCCCAGCATCCCAGTGTCGGTAACGGGCCCCCTGCCAGCTCTGCTCCCTTCCTCTGGGGTCAGCGTTGCTGTTGTACTAATTAAAATCACTGTTTTTGGTTTTTTTTTTAAAAAAAAAAAAAAGGTGAGAGGTGTTCAGGTTTCCATGTGGTGCCCTCGTGCCTGGCCCCGGGGAGGCATGAGAGGTGTTCAGGTTTCCATCTGGTGCCCTCGTGCCTGGCCCCGGGGAGGCAGGCAGGGCTGCTCACGGCACGGCGTGTGGGAAGACCAAAACGGTTCTGAAATGCCAAAGTTGGGGTTTGTTAGAGGAGAAACTGGAGCAGGCACCTTCTCAAAATAGAGAGCGCTCAGCCCACTGCTTGGGTGAGACGGAGCAAAAATAGAAAGGGTTTATTGAAAAGAGGGATTGCAGTGGGAAATATTTCTCCTCGGGGGCGGACCACGTACCTCGGGCTCTTGCTCGTGGCAGCTCCTCCAGCTCCAGGGCTTGTTGGGGCATCCTGGTCACCCCAGTGCCTGGGCTGTCCGTGCAGCCCCCCACCGCACTGCTCTGCAGGGTCAGGGCAGGACCACGTGTGGTGTCCCACCTGGGCACCAGAATCTTCTCCTTCTCCCAGGGGACCGGGAGAACTCCCTGGGGGCTGCACCCCATCCCTCTCATAGAGAAGTAGGGATGGAGAATGCACAAGTAAAATGAGCTCCATCTTTTACAGAGTCCAGACCCTCCCATTCTCGTCTTTGCAGTCCTTTCTATAGTTTGCTAAATTTTTAATAAGGATTCTTGTTGCATGGATGGAGAAGGAGCCATTAGAGATTGTCCCACATTTTGCACTTGGGAATCCCGTCTCCTCCACCAGGCCTGCATCAGGGGGGTTGTTCTGTGAATTACTCACTGATGAGTAATGGCTTTTGAGGGGGCAGAAGTGGAGAATTTGTGTGTCCAGAGCTTTCTGTCTGTTCAGTATTATTTTTATATGATTAAAATGTTTGGATTTTTTATGTGTATTTGTTAACACGCCCAAACCATAATGCTGTGTTTCAGAACGTGACCTGTCCCACCACCTCTTTTACGGACCTGGCAGAAATTGTGTCCAGGATCGAGCCCGTGAAAGCCCCCGTGGCTGATGGTGAGTGGGGTGATGGGGGAGGGTTGGGACGGGCTCCTCGCTCCTCCTGCTCTCGCTGCCTTCTTCTGACAGCCCCTGCTGCACCCTGCCATGGCCCAGGGCTGGCTGATGTGTTTTCTGAGCAGAGCTGCAGTGGCCAGCTGTCCCCCTGTCCCCAGAGCTCCATCCCAACGAGATGGGAGGTCTCTCCAGTGATACCTGGACAGGCTGGAGAGTTGGGCAGAGAGGAACCTGATGAAATTCAACAAGAGCAAGGTTGAAGGGTGCAGGGTGCTGCACCTGGAGAGGAATAACCCCCTGCACCAGGACAGGTTGGGGATGACCTGCTGGAGGGCCGCTCTGAGAAAGACCTGGGAGTCCTGGTGGACAACAGGATGCCCATGAGCCAGCAATGGGCCCTGGTGGCCAAGGAGGCCAATGGCATCCTGGGGGGCATCAGGAAGAGTGTGAGCAGCAGGTGGAGGGAGGTCATCCTGCCCCTCTGCTCTGCCCTGGGGAGGCCCCCTCTGGAGTACTGGGACCAGTTCTGGGCTCCCCAGTTCAAGGAGGACAGGGAACTGCTGGAGAGGGGACAGCAGAGGCTACAAAGATGATGAGGGGCCTGGAGCATCTCTGGGATGAGGAAAGGCTGAGAGACTTGAGTCTTTTGAGTCTGGAGAAGTGAAGACTGAGGGGGGATCTGATCAATGCCTATAAAGACTTCAAGGGTGGGTGTCAGGAGGATGGGGCCAGGCTTTTTTCAGTGGGGCCCAGGGACAGGACAAGAGGGAACGGGCACAAACTAGAACAGAAGAAGTTCCATCTGAACATGAGGAGGAACTTCTTTGCTGTGAGGGTGGCAGAGCCCTGGCAGAGGCTGCCCAGAGAGGGGGTGGGGTCTCCTTCTCTGGAGACATTCAAGCCCCACCCAGACATGTTCCTGTGGGACCTGCTCTGGGTGGCCCTGCTCTGGCAGGGGGTTGGACTGGATGATCTCCAGAGGTCCCTGCCAACCCCATAGCATTCTGTGATCCCCAGCTTCAGCTGTGCCTGAGCCCACCCCAGGTCAGACCCTCTGCATCCCCCTCCTCCGGGAGAGGCTGGGGGTCAGATCTTCCTGCCGAGCGAGTGGGATCAGGAGTGACCCGGTGCCTGCGTTGCCTTTGGCCCCTCTTGTTCCAGGGAGCACCAGTGGTCTAAGGAGGAGCAAGTGATGGCTCCCGCAGGTGACAAAGACACTGGAGTGCAGAAATTCCCAGTATGTGCTCTGCCCGAAGCTTCACAAAACGGATCCCAGCTTTGCAGCCCTGAAATCTCCCAGCGTTTCACCAGGGGCTGGAGCTCTGTATAAACAGTCTCTCCCCCTCCTCCCCATCCCTTGTTCTCGCAGAGGGAAAGCTAAAGTTAGCAGTGCTCCCATCTGTGACTGTTTGTAGAGATGTCCCTGTGGTAATTTGAAATGCTAATTGCCATCATATGCCTTATGAAGAAAATATTAATCAAATGCAGTTGAAACCGCCACTGCGAATAAGGATGAAGAGTTCATGTAACATGGTTATTTAAGGCATGGGCATCGAGACCTGCTACAGTGCAGCCAGCCTGCTGGGGCAGATCTTCCTCCTTCATAGAGTTTCTGATTACTCGCCCCCATCGGGAAGACCTTCTTCTGCGGGGTGAGGCCATGAGCACGCATGGGACACGTCTCAGAAAGGAGATGTGGCAGATTTTGGGCCAAGAGGGGCTGTGCGTGGGGCACTCGGGACGGGATGGGCAGGTACCATGTGCTCCTCATGGACATGGAAGGCTGTTGGTTGTGGAGACCCCAGAGGAGGGGGGAGGATGGCAGGATTGTGTCACGCATGTGGGGGCCATGTCTTGAAGGACCTTTTATGTTCATGTTGTGGGTGGCTCCGTGCGCTGCCTGCAGGGACCTGGCCTATTTTTTGGTGAGCAGTGGCTGTAAAGGCATTCCTCTGAGGGTGGCATCACCTCGGCGGCTCTGGGCTGGCATTGCTTTTGCTAAAGAGGTCTCTGGAGCGATGTGGGGAAGGGTCTGCACCAAGGCAAGCTCAGGGGGAGGGTGGCTGCTCCCCAGCAGTGGCCATGGGGCTCTCAGATGGTTCCTCTGATGTGCTGCTGAGCCTTTGGTTTGTCTGCTTGTGATGGTGGTGAAGATGGTCTGAGTGCTTCTGTCCCACGTCAGTAAGAAGACAGGGTGCTTCTTGGTAGCCTGGCTGAGAAACGGCGCTGTCACAGGGGGGGAACCTTTTTTCTCTATGGAATTCCCTTCCTGAGCGAGATCTCACACCACAGGGATGTGGAAAGGCTCTGCCTGACAAGATACTGCAAGGCTCAGGCTGGGTGGAGAAATTAGGTCAATAATTTTGTTCTAAAGAAAGAAAATGACGATGATCACGTTGGGGTTGACTGGGAGAAGGGGGAAGCGTCAGTACCAAGGGTGAAAGGCCCTGATGGACAGAGGCTGGTGGACCCTCCAGGTGAGGAGCCATGTCTTCTCTGGGGAGAAAAGTCAATGAGGGCTCTTCTTCTCCCTTGAGCAAACCAAGAGCAACGATTGAAACCATTAAAAACAAAAAGAAAAAAGCAGTGTGTCCCTCGGGAAGGAGTGAAGAGAGGGAAGCTGGGCAAAGCCCTGCGCTGGACCCAGGTACCTGCACTGCTGGTGGGCAGGAGGGGAAGGGCTGGAGGACAGAAGCTCCTTTTCCCAGCTGAGCCACTGCGGCGTTTGTGGCCGTGCTTCTGTTCTGCATCCAAACGCCTCCTCGATTGGGATTTTCTGTCTTTGTTCAGCTGTAATTGCGTTTTATTCAGCCGTGGCCAGGGGAGCACAGATGCCCTCCTCCAAGGGTGGCTCAGCTGTGCCTCTGGTCACGCTCCCACCCCTAAGGGATTTCTGAGGACCAAAGTCACACAGGCTCTTGGCTGATTTCCCACAGTGGGTTTCACGTCCCATTTTTCAAATCAGCAATGTCCCCATGGCCAGGTTTCATGGCATGAGGGGACACACTCACTGCACGCCGTGGCTGATGGAGACCCAGTTGTGTAGCAGAGCGATGACAGCAACAGCCATTGGGGAGGGAAATGTTAATTGTGTCAAATCCCTGGTCTTGCAATACAGCAAGGAAGAAAGAAGCAGGAGACATCCTAAAACCTCCCAAGGGACACAGTTATCATAGAATCATGGAATGGTTTGAGTTGGAAGGAACCTTAAAGCTCATCCAGTGCCACCCCCTGCCCTGGGCAGGGACACCTCCCACCAGACCAGGTTGCTCCAAGCCCCCTCCAACCTGGCCTTGAACCCCTCCAGGGATGGGGCAGCCACAGCTTCTCTGGGCAACCTGGGCCAGGCTCTCACCACCCTCACAGTGAGAAATTATCGGGCACTGGGTGACCCTCGGCACCTTTGCTGCTTGGAAAGTACTTTCATCAAGCAGCAGGACTGCACCTTGGGTTGTGATGAGCGACCAGGTTCCCTGCTTTACGTCGAGTTCTGTCAGTGCTACCGAAGCAGAAACCCTCTCCCCACACGGCGCCCATTCTCTTCAAATGTGGTGTTGTCTGCAGAAATTAGGCATGTGTAAAAGAAACGCTGAAAGCTACAGCATCACAAAGCAGGTCCTTGGCATGAGAGGTGTGACTGTCCTGCTGTGACCCTGCTCCCCTGGTAGCGGTGGCTCGGGAACCTTTCCCTGGTGGTATCTCCTCTTCACTGGCTCGGTTTGGAACTGTGGTGTTTGGGTGTTGGTGTGGTGAGCAGGGCACAGAGGTCCTGCCTGATGCTCCTGGGTGGGGGGTTGTAGCATAAAGGAGCCCCTTGAGCCCCAGACACTCAGCCACGAGGTGGGTGATGGAGGGTGATGGTTGGGGACAGCAGGACCACCTTCTGTTCTCTTATCCCCTCCAGTCCTCCAGCAGCTGGAGCTGCTGTCTGAGGGATGGGAGAAGGAACACGCTTCTCCTGTTTTTTAGTATCTGTCTAAAGACCTCTTAAATGCTTGGAAATAGTGCTTGGAAAAATCCAAGAGTTTGGTTTTGATGGCAGTCAGCTTTATCGGAGCCGTAAACCGCAAACTGCTGTTGGTGCTCTCTGCTGCTCTCCAGATGAGTTTCCACTTTCTCTGGTGTGTTTCATCAAAGATTATCACTTGTGGTTTTAGTATAAACTAACGATAATCCTCTGATCCACAGTAAAAAAAAAAATATTAAAAATTAAAAAACCCCAAATGTCTTTAATCCTAATGTTGTAGCAGTTGGTCATAGTTATTGTGTTAGAAGAAAACGCTGTGGAACAGACTGTGCTGTTGTCTTCAGCAGAGAGCAGATGCTACTGACTGTTCCCAAAAGAAATACTTAATCGAGGATCTGGTTTAAACAGGAGTCTCTTTCTTCACTAGTGGGGTGAAAAACCAGGTATTGCTTCAGCAACTCCAGGCGCACTTGAGTTAACTCATGGAAGGGGCGGAAAACCTAGTCTCAAAAATAAAAAAAGATTTTTCTGCTGTTTTAGTGCATTAACTTACATTGTGAAAAACCACGTGCCGAAGCTGTGCAGAAGGAAGGTGGCCCAGTGCCCGCTCGCTTTGTCCCACTGCCCCTGTGCCGTGGTGCCAGGCTGGGTTGGGATGGGGCTGGGGGCTGCCCCCAGGGCTGGTGATGGGCTCCTGCCCTCCGGTGAGTGCTGAGCTGCTGTGGGAGATGGGTCCTGTTGGAGGGGACTCTCCCGCCATCTTCTACAGACCCTGAAGATCGCTTCAGGGTGCTGGAAGAGGCGTTGGGTTGGCACTGGTGTATCTCATTCCGTGGGAGCAGGCTGGGGACTGGGGGCTTGGTGGCATGTCCTGCTGCTGACCACCGTGCCTCTGCGTCCACGGCTCTTCAGCTTCCCTAAATTATGCTCATCTGCTGGATTACCAGAGAGAGCAGGTGATTGTCCCATGTGGAGAGTACACATGGAGTGGAGTGCAAATGTCACTGTGGACCAGGGATTGTGAGGCAGGGAATTACCATCTCTTGCCTGTGCCTGGAAGACCCTGTTTCCCGTGAGTCTGTGACCAGTGTGTCCAGGGGAGGTTGGAGCTCGCAGGCATGTCTTCTGGAGGTATCTTACAGCTCTTGTCTGGAGTGACAGGTGGGAAACAGCAACTACTCTGTGAAGAGCTGCCCAGGGAAGTGGTTGAGGCACCATCCCTGGAGGTGTTCAGAAGACGGGTTGGCATGGTCCTCAAGACTATGGTTTAGTGATTTTTTTATTGCTTATTTCTTATTTATTTTTTTTCAGAGTTAGGTTGATGGTTGGACTAGATGATCTTCAAGGTCCCTTCCAACCTAGACGATTCTATGATATCCCCATTGCCATCATTTGTGTCCCATTGGGCTGGGCAGCCAGCGGCCACCAGAATATCATGGACAGTTTGTAGCTCACTGCTCTTGCTCCAAGCTCTTTAGAAACAGGACACAGTTTATTTTGTGATCTGGCTGGAGAGCAGAGATGTGTGTTTGAGTAGTGCCAGTTCCCCGAGCTGGGGAGAGCTGGCCAGCAGCCACCCTGCCCCAGGGCCACTGCTTGGTGGAGACAGCTCTCCTTCCCCTGCCAGTGGTCTCTGCCTCTCTCCGGGCTGGTTAAAACCAGTGTTTTTTCTCTGCTCTTTCTGTAGATGAGTCAGACTACCAGACTGAGTACGAGGAAGAAGTTCTGGACAACCAGAAGGATGATTATGTTGATTTCATGAGCAACCAGGCTGAAGAAGACTCCGACTCGGTACGAACTGCCCAGCAAACAGGCAGCGCCTGAGAGAAGCACCTCAGCCTTGCTGAGGGCTGTGCAGAAATAATTTTGCTCTTAGTGGTGTCGTGTGGGGCAAAACCTGGCCCTGGTTAAAACCTGGCCCCACAGCTCCGTGGGTTTGTTCATGAGGGGTCGGGGATGGAGAACATACGGCACGAGGAAGGGCTGAAGGAGCTCCAGCACAGAGGAGAGGGTCTGCCTGTAGCTCTCTGCTGGGTGGTGATGGAGGAGACAGCAGCAGAGCTGCACAGCAAAAAGATGAGAGGCAACAGGCACAACTTGTGCTAAAAGGAATCCTCCTTGGCTACAGGGGGAAATATCTCCCAGTAAGAGGGGCTGAGAACTGCAACGGGCTGTGCAGGGAGATGGTGGAAACTCCATCCCTGCAAACCAAATAGCTGCCCTGAGGAACCAGATCTAGCATTAGAGGTAGCCCTGCTTAGAGCAGAGCATTATATCATGTCCTCCAGAGGTCCCTTCCAACCAAAGCTGTTTGATTCTCTGGGTGCCTCAGGTCCTCCTCCACCCTGAGGTCAGACTTCACTGCCCACAGCCCGAGAAGCAAAGCTGGGAAGGGTGGTACCCCTGCTGTCCTAACCTGGGCTAGTGTGGCCAGCAGGTTTAACAGGTGGAGTCGCCTGTTGTGTTGGACATGAGCAGTTTCTCAGTGGGAGCAGGTGAGCAGACTGGGAAGGTGCCTGCCCACGTGAGGATGTAAGATGGTTCCAGTGCCTTCAGTGAGGAGCTGGAGTGGTGGTGTAAAGATTTTGTTTGCTGGGCTCATCTCCGGTGAGTAACAGTTAGTGGACAAAGAATGGGTGGAGGGGAAGAGGACAGATTTTACCCAGCTCAGAGAGGATGCTGAAGAATTAATTCATATTTTTTTGCAATTTTTTCCCCTCCTTCAGGATGAAGACATGCAGATAAGGCAGCGCAGGAATGTCCCCAGTGTGGGCAGCCAGGCCAGCAGCACGGGAGAGCCGAGCTAGTGCTCAGAGGAGTCCGACCTTGCTGAGATCTGTAACCATCAGTACTGACAGCAGCCGTATTTATAAAACATTTTTAAAAAAAAAAGGTAAAACAACATCCAGTTGAAATTAAGCAAGCTTTCGTCCTTCTCCGGACAGGGTAGGGGGCATTCAGCTGCCAGCACTAAGCACAGGTATCTACATCGTGTCCAAGTCCCCCTGGACCTCCCGTGAAGGGTGGCTGATGGGCCCCACACACTCCGTAGAGGTGCCAGTATGAGCGGCCGGTTATTTATCCCTCTGGGACTGGCAGAGGGCAATCGTGCTGGGAACGTGCAGGTAAATGCTGCCTTGATTGTTGCTGCTGTACGTTCCGGTCGCTGTTTTTCCTGCGAAGGCCCTTTCCGTGTGCTGAGCGGGCTCCGAGCGGCAGCACCGGAGAGAGGGAGGGTTTTGGCCGCAGCGTTGCTTTCTTTTCATATGAATCAGGTAACTGCGTAATTAACTCCTCAGCGACTTTGAACCATGTACTTGTGAGCAGTGCTCTGACAGGAGCGAGTCTTGAATGTATTCCACTTGAAATCTAAACCTAAGAAATCAATTAATGTGAGCGCTAGCTATAGAACCTGTATCCTCAAGCCACCAGCAGAACATTTACTGACGGATCATGGAGCTGACACTTGCTGGGCAACTCTGGAATCACTATTTGGTTGTATTTGCCCTGTGAAATAAAGTCCTTTTTGCTGGATTGAAATGTCCGCGTGGTTCTTTGTGTTGAGAGAGAAAGTTGTCAACAACTTGCCTCTGCCTCGTATCAGACCCATAAAGAAACCCATGTGGTTTTCAATTCCTCGCCCCAGCGGGAGCCACGCGGGGTATTGGAAAGAAATCTCTGGTGCTTTTCCCCCCCGGGGGCTGCAGCAGTCCATGTGAGTTGGACCGTGTCCAGAAGTCCCCTGGTGCTTGCTCTTCTTGTCTCACATCTGTCGTTGCCAATAGTTCCCCGTGGCTGGATAATCGAGCTGATTCTTGCTTCATGTAAACTCTTCTGCTCAGTGGTAGCTCTGGGTTGCCTTGAGGGGGTTTGTCATCTGACCAGAGCACCGAAGATGTTCCTCAAAGCTGCCTCCTTTGCTGAGCTCTCCTGGTCTTCTGATGTGCACCAGCAGCAATGCCTCCAGGAGTGACCAGAGCTGGGCAGCACAACTCTGAGGCCAGAACCATGTTTAGTGGCACCACCAAGGACTGTGGTGGTTGTAAACACTGTGAAGTGTGACCTGTTCTCTGTATTTAACCTCCCCCTGTCTGCTGGCACAGGCTCTCCTTCTCTACCTGCTCTGCATCGTGTTTTCCTCCATCGTGTCCATGAATGTGCAGTTTCTACCCAGGGAGGCCGTTCCTCTAACACAAAATGGTATTTTCCAGTGTCAGAGCCTCATGTCAGCGTTTTGTTGACAGAGGGACCTCAGCCGTCCCCATGGTGAGACCACCCAGCCTGGCTGCTCCTCCAGCTGGCCACAGGCCCCTCCAGAAGCGGTTGGAGACTTTCCCTGCAAGGATCAGCCAGATCTTTGGAGCAGATTTTGGTTAATGCATTTGTAGAGCAAATATTGCGGTCACTGGAGGTCATTCCCTGCCATTGAAAAGAATTAATTCTTGCAAAGAAAAGTTAGAAATGGCTTTTGAAGTGGAGGTGGAGCCACCAGCAGCTGCAACAGGCTGCCTGTTGGGCTGGAGAGCTTTAATTTCTGTTGGCGTTGGTCACAGGGGGGTGGTGATGCCTGGGGGAAGGTGCTCGTAAGCTGGGGGTGAGCCTGGGGAGGGTGGGAGTGGGTGCAGGTGGGTGCCCACCTCACCCTGTCTGCTGGGTGAGCACAAGAGGACGCGTCTTGTGTAAGAACACAAGAGGATCACGTCTGTGCAGCGGCAGCACAACTCAGAGCTTTGTTCTTCTGATGAGGGGATGCAAACCAGATGCGAGTCCTTTCAACATCTATCTTTATGGGTGGTTACAGCACAGGAACCTTCCCCATGGAAACGGAGACCAGGGCTGCAGTACAGACCAACCCTAGGGGTGGCTGAGGTCCTCTGGTTGCCCTTACCAAGCCCATCTTGGGCCAGTGGCCTTCAGCCTTCGAGGGATACACTTAAAAACAAAAGTGCCTTCACCAGAGATTGGATCAAACCTCCTGATGAAGGACAGATTGTCATTTGTCAGACACCTGTGTTGTGCCACCTGTAGCAGCCGCTGCTTCTGCTCGTTCCCTTTTCCCCGGCGGCCGATCTGGCTGGGGCAGGACGGGCCCGTGGGTTGTTTTCCAGAGGGGGGACAGATCCCAGTGCTGCTGTATCGCTCCATGCTGTTCCAGGAGAGCTCTTCCCATCTCTTCCAACAGGGAATTTCCAAGTTGTATCTCCCAACTCTACACTTCCCGGCAGCTGGACTCGTTCCCGGAGCCGGGCTGTGAGCCCCTGGGCTTGTGGCCACATGGGTGAAAGGAGTCACAGAAAACAGAAAAATAGTGGGCCTAATAATAGAAGAAATGAAGAATAGAAGAATAGAATGGAAAAATAGAGCCTCTGTATTCGCTTTGTGCCCTGTTCCACGGGGAAGTGGCACTTAGTTCAGATGTCCAAAGACAGAAAATAAACCTTTGATGTGAGACCTAAAGTCTCTTCTAAGTAATTGATGAGAGCTTCCCCCCAGCCGCCTTCTCCGCAGCTGAGCACTGGACACTAAAGCTAAATGGCTTCAAGCTCCAACAGAGTAGGTTTAAAATGAACATTAGGAAAGAATTTTTCCCAGAAAGAGTGGTCAGACACTGGAACAGGCTGCCCAGGGAGGTGGTTGAGTCACCATCCCTGGATGTGTTCAAGAGTCGTTTAGATGTGGTGTTGGGGGATATGGTGTAGGGGAGGACTTTGTAGAGTAGGGTTGATGGTTGGACTCGATGAATCATTTTTCCAGCTTGCTTCGCTGCTGGCTGTGGTCTGCCCAGCTGCCTGGTCCCGTCGGTGGTTCCGCTCCATCCTGCACCTCCTGGGTACATCCTGATGATCCTGCACTCATGTGTGCAGTTCCATGTGTGGAGGCTTTAAACAGGTGGGCACCCAGCCCTGTGCTAGGGGTGGATGCTGGGTCACCCCTTCGTGCCCTGGGCTCTACAGTGACAACCCTGTGGCTGCAGTGGAGCAGGAGAAGGGAGCTTTGGAAGAGCCCAAGTGTGCCCTTCCTGGCTGTCCTGGCCCGGGCCACCATCCTGCCAGGCCCAGTGGGTGCTGGCTTTGGCTGGAAACTGCCTGCTCTCCCTGTGACTTCTTCATGGGTCTTTACCCATGAAGTCTGACCAGGAACTGAACAGATTTGGCCTTGCCACAGGAGCCAAACCAGCTGCTGAAGCCTGAAGGTTTCATCTTGGGTGAAGAGGACACAGAACTTGTCCCCACATCGAGCCTGATGTCAGCCAAAGCCAAAAATGAAGCAGCAGGATGGGAGCGAGGTCCTGAGGAACCACGGCCATGAGCAGTAGCTGTGGTGGGAAGGGTCCCTCAGAAAGCCTTTGACTTGACACATCTGATGGCTGCCGACTCTGGGGGTGAAGCCTTGATGAGCTTTCAGAAACATGTCCCAGTGATGGATTCACGGTAGGTTCGGCACCAGTCCTGGCTTGGTGGTTGGGGCTCAGCCCCTCCAAGCATGGAGAAGCCGGGTGAGAGTTGCCCCCGGGCACAGCCTGTGCTGCCCAAGGACTCGGCCAGTGACCAGGGCTGCTGGCTGAGGGGACAGACGTGCCCCAAATTGGTGATCTGAGAACAGGCACCCGCTGGGGAGGGGAAGCCAGAGGAAGCCAGAGGAAGGAGGGTGTTTGGGGGAAATTTGGTGGCGGGACTCCAACTGCAGCCCCAGTCCCTGCAGGGGAAGGGCCATCCACGCCTGGCGAGGGGACACCATGGCCGGGGTCCTCCCGTGCTGGTGGGCAGTGGCACTCCTGGCTCCACGGGGCAGCACCTTGGGGCTGACCTACTACAAATGGCTTGATGCAAGTAACGAACTTATTTAATTGCTTCGTTAATGTGGCCTCATGAGCTGTTCAGCTCTTAGTGACAGCTCCGGTGGGGTTTGGGGAGAAGAACGAACCCCCATGGCCCACATGGCAGCTGGAAGCACTGGTCCAAGTTCCCTGGGAAGCCTTGTGTGGGCAGGGGGAGAGCTTTTGCTCTCCTGCCATGTGGCTCTGGCTGTTTGTGGTGGCTCCGGCTGTTTGGGGTGGCTCCTGCTGCTGTTTCTGAGGTTTCTCACCCTGTGTGGAGCCAGTTGTGTCTGTGCGGCCCCTCTGGGCTTTGCTCTGGGGGCAGGAACGGCCGGGGCTGCGGTGGGACCTGGGATGCTCCTTCCCTGGCAGACGTCATTCTCACTGCGTCTTCTTCTAAAATTAATCTCATCTTATTTACTCGTGCTCCCCTGACCTCCTCCGGCGTGCGATTTTCCTTGCGTGCCGCCTGAGGACTGTGTTTAAGCTGTCAAGATGCGGGGGCTTTACTGCGCCTCTGGGTTTAATTTACCGTTGCTGTGAGTAAGAGCCGGTAATAAAATCAGCAAACGGGGAATACAGCAAATATTTTCCTCTCCCGGAGGGGCTCTGCGAGGCTGGAGCGGCGCCCGCTGCTGCCCACCGTGCCCAGAGCCCTGCGGCCACGGGATGTGAGGTTTCACCACGGGACCGTGGCTTCCCGCAGCAGGAGGCATCGGGATTATTAAGATGTTTGTTTGATGAAGGTAGTTTTGTAATGTGGCTCTTGCTGGCACCAGGGCACAGACTCTCATTAGCGGCCCCTTCCCCGGCTGATTCCGCTCTCATCGGGTCTGGTGGCATTTGTGTCCTCGCTCCTTGTCCCCATCCCCTCCTCAGGTCATGGAGGGTCTGACCCTCTTTTTCCCAATGGTTTTAATTCGGGCTTTGGTATAAATAGTGCTGAGAGGAGCCGGCAGCACACCCATCCCTGTGCCCGCATCCCGCCCCCAGGAGCCCCCTTGGGAAATGGGGATGGGGTGTAGCTGCCGATGGTTGGACTAGATGATCTTAAAGGTCCCTTCCAACCTAGACAGCTCTATGAAAGCCAACCCCATCCTGGGCTGCATCAAGAGAAGCGTGGCCAGCAGGTCACAGGAGGTGATTCTGCCCCTCTGCTCTCCACTCCTGAGACCCCACCTGGAGCTCTGTGTCCAGCTCTGGAGTCCTCAGCACAGGAAGGACATGGATCTGCTGGAACGGGTCCAGTGGAGGCCACGAAGATGCTCAGAGGGATGGAGCACCTCTGCTATGAAGACAGGCTGAGAGAGCTGGAGGTGTTCAGTCTGGAGAAGAGAAGGCTCCGGGGAGACGTCATAGCAGCCTTCCAATATCTGAAGGGGCTACAGGAGAGCTGGGGAGGGACTCTTTGTCAGGGAGTGCAGTGACAGGACAAGGGGTAATGGTTTTAAACTGGAAGAGGGGAGATTTAGATTAGATACCAGAAAGAAATTCTTTACAGTGAGGGTGGTGAGGCACTGGAACAGGTTGCCCAGGGAGGTCATGGATGCCCCATCCCTGGAGGGGTTCAAGGCCAGGCTGGATGGGGCTTGGAGCAACCTGGGCTGGTGGGAGGTGTCCCTGCTCAGGGCAGGGAGTTGGAACTAGATGATCTTTAAGGTCCTTTTCAACCCAAACCATTCTATGAGTCTATGAAATGCCGCTGTGTCCCACTCGCCACAGC